CCATCCCATCCCTCGTTCCCCCGTTGCCCCTCGGCACAGCAGGATCGTGTCCCTGGCACATGGCTGAGCCCCCGTCCCGATGGGCCATCATCAGGTGTGGAGCTGGACTTCCTTGGGTTTTAAATACACTGACAAGAGTGGAGAAACAGCAGCTAGGACAGAGCCCAACATCCCCCAGCCCTTGTGCCATCCTGGGCCAGAACAGCCAGTTAGTCCTATTTGTTCCCCCTTTAGCTACATTCCTGCAAGTGCTCTGGGGTTTGATATTTTGGGGTTTGGGGTTTTTTTCCCCTTTCCAGTGTGAATTATTGATCAGGTGGCTGCTAAGCTTATCCCCCCCTCCATGCCTCCTGGCTGTTGTGCTTCCCTGCTGGAGCAGAGGGTGGGGTAGGGAAGTAAATCAAAATAACAGGCTAATTAATGACCCAGAGAGTTGAAACCCAGCCGAAAGCTGAGCTGCTCCCGCTGGCCCGGGAGCAGGCTTCCCAGCAGCTGGGAAGTTTTGCAGGAGGGTGTTTTTGGGGCAGGGCAGGACCGCTGCCTGCAGCAGGTCTTACCTCCCGAGCCAAGGCGCAAACAAGATTTCCCCTGGTCCCCTCCGGACTGCTGGCTTTGCTCTGTTTATTTGTATTTCCCCCATGTGAGCAGAAAACACAGCAGCTTGTCCCCAGCTGTGCGGGTTGCTCAGGCCCGGCTGTAAGTACAAGGCAGGATCCAGCACTAACACAAAATAAAGAGGTGATGATGAGTGAGCATCTTCCTCTCCAAAGAGCTGCTGTGCGGGGTGATGCCAGCCCAGGTCCCGTAAGGTCCCAGCCCCAGCCCCCCAGGGTCAGCCCTGGATGAAGCATTCCCCACCATGAGCCAAGCTCAAGGACTAATACGTCCCTGTGTTCCCAGGGCTCATCACCAGCTCCAAGCCCCAATGCTGCCACGGCATTCCTGGCCACCTCGGAGCCGAGTAGCATCCAGGGGTGGCCAAATTCCTCCTTAGGTAGCCCATCAGGTAAAGCCTCTCCCAGAGCAGTGAGGCTGGGCAGGTCAGACTATCACTCAATAAATTTTAGCTGGAAAAAAAACCCCAATTTGTTTATTTATTTAAATCCCGTGACTTCAGGAGCAGGTGCCCTGCACCCTTGAGCCTGAGGAGAGCGGCCAGGGCCATGCGGGGCAATGGGCTGCCATCACCTCGGCTGCGGCCTGCCCCGGTTCCCTGCTGCCCATCAGAATTAGCCAGCCCGTTTGAGCGGGTTTACGATAATCATCAAATAACTCGTTCATTGACAGCATGTCAGGCTGAGAATACCGACTGAGCCCTCGTTTGCTGATTGCTAATTAGCTTAACATTCCTAATCCCTCATTAGCGACTATGAAGTAAGCTCTGAAATATGAGGTCAGCCCTAATCAGCGTTTAAAATATAAAGCCCACTGGCACGTGATGGAGGTGGGAGAGAGGGGGTGGCTGCAGGCCAGCGCTGAGGGCTTCCATGCTCAGGGGGAATGAGGCCATGCAGGGCAGAGCCAGACATAAAGGGTTAAACCCTGTGGGGCCACGGATGTCTGCACGTTGTCCCAAATCTCAGCCCCCCGCACTTGGTGCACGTCCCAGCTCCACGTTGGCTACAGATGTTGGCATTTGGGATGAGATGGCACATGAGATGCCCCAGGTCTCTTCCTGAGTCCCATTCCTTGCTGTACCCGGCTGGATGTCACCCCCGGGAGCTCGCAGCATCCCTCTGCCACACTGAAACCTCTCGCTTTGCCCCCTGCAACCTGGCTTTCCCGGCTGGAAAGCCCCAGATGGGCCATCCCACTGAAGGGGACCCTGGTGTTCCCGAGGACGGGCAGCAAGAGGGATGGAAGAGCAATCAGTTGCAGTAAGTACCCTCAGCAATGAGCACCACATCCCGGCGCTGGGGGTCTCCAAAGGGGAGGGAGGCGATGGGTTTTAGGGTGGGTTTTAACCCTGGTGAGCTGAACGTGTCCAAGCAGGGATGACAAGTCCCAGGGTGACACATGTGACATCCCTGGGACAAATTCCAGGCAAAAGGACCTGCAGGTGAGGCTGACCTGGCCCTGGTCCCCACTGCATTGGAGGGATTGTGGCCCACTGGCTACAGGGGACGCTGCCACGCGCCGGCCCCATGTTCCCACCGCCGTCCCCACCGGCTGTCCCCCGGCCCCGCGGGGTTTGGGCAGGGGCCCTGTGCCGCGTAGCCGTGGTTTGGTCCTGCTGCCCTGCCTCAACCCTGCCTGCCGAAGCCGCCTGCCTGCAGAGTCCGTGGAGGTGCCAATCCCCCGCACAAATCCCCAAAGCCTCTTTCTGCTCCTGGATCTTGTTGTGCCATTTCTTGGGGGGCAGATGGGCAGCACCCCGCCACTTGCACCCTACACCCAAGGGTGGCTACAACCCCCTCGGTGTGTCCCCCTATTCCGTGGGCTGCTGCTGCCTTTCGGCACTGGGGGCAAACCAGCCCCAGCGCTCTAAACCTGCAGGGTCTGGGGGCCTGGAGCTGCTGCCGTGTCTGTCAGGGGCAGACCCAGAGGTCCCAGCAGCGGCTTCGAGGGGATGGAGACAGCCCCACAGCTGCAGGACATGGGTGGGCGCCAACCCCACCGTGCCAGGCAAGGCCAGAGGAGCAAAGTCCCCAGGAAGGGGCAGAGGAGCATTGCCCTGAGAGCCTGGTTCTGCCAGTAAAGCCCCAGTTTTGCACACCAAGGCAGAATAAACTCATCCTCTCACACTGCTCACAGGTATTATTGCACATCACCTGCCCAGTAACAGCTTTCCAGCTCCAGCCTCTCTCTAAACCAAGGTGGGAACTGGCACTTTGCAACCTGGTTCCCCTCTTAGCTGCACCCAGCGTCTGGGCTGGGGTCTGAAATCACACGTATCGCTCTTCTGGCAGCCTGGCTGTAGGGAAACAGCCTGGGCCAGTCTAGTCTCACCTAAATCCTTGTGAAATCAAAGCTCACAGGAGCATCATGCAGTTCACCGGGATAGCACAATCCCTCCAGCCCTGGGGACGTGCCCCTCGCTCAGCCCGACCCTGAAGGATGCTGCTGCAAAATCTCCCCTGGGGCGACCCTTTCCCCCTGGCAAGCACAGCCCCCCAGCTCCCAAGGCAGCCCAGCACTCCCGCACCACACACCATTTATTATTAATATTATTAAAAGGCCCCCAAAAAGGAGGAAAAGGCTTGCAGATGTGACAAGCCCCCCTGGCTCGCAGGGCACAGCAAGCACCGTTGCTGCTGACGCCAGATTTTGATGGGGCAACGCGTTGCCATTTGGTGCATCCAACAGCAATTCCAGCTGTGGTTTCCATTGAGGGCAGGCTGTCAACAGTGGGGGGGCCAAACGCCCATGCGGATTGCTTTGGCTTTCCCCCTAATTCCCCTCTTTGAAATTCCAGGTAAACTGCAGGCAGCCTGGCTGCTGGCTGCGGGACTTCGACCAGGGTCTTGCTCACACCCTCCGATCCTGGGGGAAGGAGTCAAATCTCGGTATCAGCATCAGCGAGCAGGCGCCGAAGCACGCTGAGCTACCCACGTGCGTGCCGTCATTTAGGAGGAAAATGGCCCTTATTTGTTGCAGCTTAATCCTCTGGAAGAATAAACTGCTGTGGACTAAGAGCAATTTATTTCTGACTGGGAGAACCTCTACAGGAGGGCTGTGGACTTTAAACTTAACCCTAATTAAACTCCAGCTAGTAAGTCCTAAAAAAGGAGAAAAACTGGATGTTCCCATGAAGATGTAATTGGAAAAGCTCTTGTTGCCACACCTCGGCTCGTCCCCAAGGACCAGGACCAAAGCGATGCTCCTGCCCCAGCCCCAGCCCCCCGTGTCGATGGCGGGTGATGCTCTGGACTGGGGCCGCAGGGCATGGCCAGCCCTCGCTCTGCGCCAGGTCCCTGCACAGAGCCGACAGCGGCTGCAGGAGCCGCGAGCCTTGCCGTGCCAGAGAAAGGCCATTTAGTTCAACGCCGCAGGAGATGTTAAAAGCGTCCTTTCGCTGCGCGCTCTGCGCTCCCATCCCTCTGAGCCCTGCTGTCCCTCTCCGCGTGGGCAGGAGTATCACTCTTTTATGAACCGACGTCAGCAATGACGAACAGTGGCGCGGCGAGAGGCTGCCGGCAGAGGCACTGCAAATCTCCCGTGGACGGAGCTGTGCTTCGCCCCCAATTTCTGCTCGGCAGCTTCTCTAGAGCACGGAGACACAGGATATTTTGAGCATCCTCAGCAGCAGCGAACAAGGCCGAGTCCAATCCCCCCAGACACGAGCGTCTCCCCAGCTCTTAGTTTCCAAGGACAGCAATAAGCCTTTGAAGGCTTTTCCGTGGAGAAGAGTGCACACCTGCAAATGTTAAAAGCAAAGGGCTGTTTCTGGAAAGGTTTTGGGTGGTATATTATCAAGTCAGCCTAAATAACTGGGTGCAAAAGGGGGCTACGCAGCTCCTTCTGCCTCGTGCCATTTGGTTAATCCAAGCCAGTGCCGTACCTGTGCCACTGGCAGCCGCTGCCCTTTGGATTTTATTGTGCCCACAATTCATACACCCATCAGCTATTGCGTTCAATTGTGGTCAGTCACATCCTCTCCTTGTCTTGCTGGTTTCTTCTGTTGCTCAGCTAAGTTTCACGTCTCGTATGTTTTTACCCCTTTAGTAAGGACTGACCACTAGGACCCTGCATTAGCAGGGACACGGGACACTATATACTTAAGGGGCTCTCCGTGGAGGATGGTAAATTCTGGGCTTGAGTTTCGAGAGTGGAAAGCTTTGGCTTATCCATACCTCTGGACCGTGGAGCACAAAATCCCAAATAGCCTGGCAGATTTACTCCTCCGATACCCAGACACTCTGCAGGCTATTTTCTGCCCCACCAAGCAGGCAGTTGAGCCAGCGGGTTGAAGGCACAGCCACCCCCGGTGCTGCGGGGAGAGTAAGGGGAGACTGAACAAGAGACACACACGAGTTTAAATTTATTAAAAAAAAAAAAAAAAAAAAAAAAAATTTATTTATTTTGGAGGAGGATTTGAACATCGACATGCAGGTACAACATGAATAAAAATTATTGCACCGCTATTATGTGGCAATTGTTCAAGTTTCTAAAAACACAGAAATTCCACACTTTCTCTTATCTAGCTAAGTGCTGAGTGACACAGCTTGGCAGAGCCCAGCTCAGGAGGTGCTCTCACAGCCACCTGGATATGATAATCGAACACAACGTAAACACACACTTCTGTCAAATCTTCTACTAGAAGTACAGAGTTATCCTTCACATCCAGTAAGAGAAAACCAGAGAAAGACTTTATCCTCCCCTCTTCGGAAGAAAAAAAAAATATTAAAATACTCCAAATCACACCTTAATGCAAGTGTGGCAACCAAAACCACTGGTCACTCCTACTGCTTCCCCAGCAAGCGCTCTTTAGTATATTAGCAGCCAAAGGCCTCTGACATTGGGACCCGGGAGTGGCCATCACAATGCTAAAGTCTAATATTTACAATAAATATCATCCATTTCTCTTAGTTTGCAACAGTAAGAGACAAAGGGAAAAGTAACACTGAAATGAGGCATGGGGCAGGAATGCGCCGGCTGGATGCAGAAGCAGAGAGGAGCTGCAGAGGCTGGAACCAGCTTTGATGCCGTCATCCCAACATGGATGAGGAGCAGGAGACACATCCAAGCCGACAGAAGGAAAAAGGGAAACGAAGCAGGAAAGCAGCGTATTTGGATGGTTATGTGCACAGCTCATTCACCAAACACGCAGCACATGCACGCAACTTCTACCTCCCGCCTGTCTGACTCGGGGTTATCTATAGAGGCCAAGTTCTTGGCTTGCTGAATGCTTCACTCAGATACTGCGGGTCTGATCCTGCCGGGGGGAACACACTCTCGCTCTTCACACACACCTTTTCCAACATCTCGTTCCTCCCCAACATGTTTTGCAAGCTTATTTGAGAAGGTATTTAAGCAATTCTTAGCAGAGCAAGGAATAAGTCTTGCTGTATCTACCCAGTTTATAAAAATTTTATCAAAAAAGTCTCTTTGCCCAAACTTTTTGCTAAGGTGCACCATAAAAATTTGACAGAGGTGGAACCAGGACGATGGGGTACCTGGCACACCAAGGGAAATTGCAAGACTGATGAGGAGCAGGGGATATGGGGCTTCACTAGGATGCTTTCCTGGTAACGCCGTTTGGCTTTGGCTTCCAAAAAACCAGTTTTTTTTTAACTTGCACTGATCACTTTCTGTACCGTAGCTACAAAAGAGGCAACGAGATGCATATCTCACCTCTTCTTTGGCCAATTCAGGCAAAAGCAGCAAAAGCTGTGACATAACAAGGTTTTTCACTCCTCTTTTTATGCGTAAGAAAGGATAACTCTGCAATTCAGCGCTGGAACCACCAGCTGCAAAGGGAGGGAGTCAGCAGCTAATACAGCTGGTACCTTGAGAGGGTCCCATCCCAACCCGCGTGGGATGAGCCAGGTTACCCAGCCCTCTCTCCTAAGAGCAGTAGTTGGTTTTTCTCTTAGGTTTTTTAAATGCAGAGCCCTTCGTGGATGCCCCAGGAGCATGCTCACAGAAGAAGCTGTGTCACCACAAGGAGAAGGAAACGGGGACCTGCCACCCAGGGAACAGCCAGGTCGGACCACGTCCCCATGCAACTCTGGGCTCACTACTTAATTGATACAGAGACTTCCATCTGGCCAAGGTTAGGTGCTCTCAGGAGAGAAGCTTGAGGCTTGTCTTTGTAATTACCACAGACTCAGGATGCTGAATCAATTTTTCACTGTTCCTGTCCATTTTATCATATACTGTACTGCCAGTCAGACCTTGTTTCTCAGCAATTTTTTAGTAAATCAACCCATCAGGGAGAAAACCAGCCAGATAAGTACCAGACCCTGCCAAGTCTGTTCCTTACTTGCTATTGCTCCAAATCAGCACAGAATGATGCTCAACAACAAGAGTGCTTTGAGAGGCTGGAGATACCCAGGACCCTGACAAGGCAGTGGAAATATTGTGGTTTATAATTGCAAACCAAGTGTATACGAGTAGCCTATGAATTCCAGGAAAAAGAGCAAAGAGACAGCACAGCAGGCTCTGCTCTCAATACCGTCACAGCAAGATTTATTAACATGTTATCTGGGAGAGTTGAGGCTTTGGTTAGTGTATTAACAACACCATACATGTTCACACAGACACACGGAGTAAACACTCATTTAAACATGTTTAAAAAAAAGCTCAAACCAAACCAAACCTTGGTCCAGAAATGAAATCCAAGCAGCCAAAAACAAGTATATAATGGGGGGAAACAATGGTTATACAGAAAGAAGTAGGGTGAGATTCCAGAGATTTTTGTGATTTGTGGATTGAGCTGAAATCAAGTTGAAAGAGATGGAGAAAATATATTCCTATATAAAAACATATTTGCATTTAGGGGAAGCAAATCAAAACCAAGTTCAGAAAAAGCCAAGACAATGAAGAAGGCGGCAGTGTAATGAAATCAGACCAACAGAGGCAGGTTTTAGCTTGAAATACTGTTGCACAGTCATTCTGCTTCTAACAGAGTAAGCCAGTGAGCAGGATACTAGACCTTGCGGGTGATGCGCAGGGAGATACACTCAGAGAAGACTAGAATAAAAGCTGAGCACAATCTGGGACAAATGACGGGAGTGTTCATTGAGAGGAACCTTTAATTGGATGAAGAAATGGCTTACAGTGCTATAGGTATCACCACTCGACACATTTATTGGTATATTATTGTTGATCTAATCCTCAGCAAAGAGCACTGTTACCCAGAGTTGGTCACACTTAAAGCAAAGCAATGTCTAAACCTAAGAGCAAAGAGTAATTTTTTAATGGAAAGTGACCTCAGCAGTGGAAATGATCTAGCTATCAAAGCTGAAATCTTAAAATATCACATGTGTTTTGAAGTCTGCTTGCAGCTTGTCCACAGAACTCGAGGAGCCAGAACTCTTCATAGGTTTTTTTTAGTTTTTAAAACGGGCAGATTCAGAAAACTCAGCAAGTTTCCCAAGCCCCAATTCAGAAATGTTAAGGAACACCTTAAAATCCCTACCTATTTAGACCCACCAAGAGAAGGAAAAGTCTCCAAAGGTCATTTATCATTGAGATAACTTTGCCTGAGACACACTGGAGAACACGCGACTACAAATTTCTCTACTTTAAAAATCAACCTACAAGGCGCCCCTCTCCTGGGGTCATTTATTCTGAGGCAGGGCAAGTTATGAATTGAAGCCAGAGAAGGGAAGATAAAACATTGCTACAATTTTAAAAAGAGAGGGAAAAGTTGCCATGTGTCCCATAAAGGATATGTGAAAACAATCCCCAAAAAACAGCTTACGGATTGGAGATCTCTCTTTCTGATAATTCCATTGAAAAATACTTTTAATTGGTTTAAAGAGAAGACAGGGATCGCTCTCTGTCTAACCCCTCCAGCCAAGTCCCTTGCCCCCATATCCTCTAAGGACACGTGCAGGACTGGGAATGCACACGGTGATGAAGAAGCCTTACAAAGAGGGTTTACAGTTCCGGAATTACTTGCGGACAAGAGACTATTTTCTTCTCCTTGTCAAAGGACAGCAGATTGTAAATTCAAAGACAATACTTGAAATTTGTGAATTTCAGTGGCATTTCAAAGAGAAGGTTGAAAAGCAGAGATTTTAAAGTAAGCTGCCTTTTTTGTACTCAGAACTTTGGGGATCTTGAATAAATGCAGGATTAGGGGGAAGAACACGACAGACCCTAAACTCAGGCAACATAAAAGGTCTGGAAGGGAGAAAACTCAACAAACTGTTTCTTAAGTCCTGCTTTAAAGATACCCTGTTCTAAAGAGACCTCAAACGGCAAGCATTACTGTGTACAAAAATAGAATAGCAAGGATGAAAAAACACAAAAAACAGTATGAAAAAAACCCTCCCAAAAATAGATGTACACAAGTTCTATTTTATATTAGTGTATATTACAAAATTCAAACATGCAGTCTCTATTTTGAATGTAGAATGCTCCAGTCCACAGGTACCAGGGATGCTGCTATGTTTTCTTTACAGCACCATCATGTGACAGGGGAAAGTCTTGTATTTTTAACTGATTTCCAACCTCTTTGCTTTTTGCTTGTGCGAGAGTCCCTTCTTTACAGGGCCTCGTGCTGCCATCTGGCAGAGGAGAGGCTCTCAGAGCTGCTTGTCCAAGAGCATGAGACAGCTCTTTTGATGGAGTGATTTTGCAGCTACCTCCCAACACTTCGGACGCTTTAGCACTGCAAAAAGTTGTCTCCTTTTTTGCCACCACAGGACACGTTGCCTCCCAGGGCTTTGCTGAGTTTAACGACTCGGCACAGGATCCGCTCCTTGTGGTCAGAGCGTCTGTGCTAGATAGTTTGGCTTTCTCTTGACATGCTCCTGCTTGTGATGTTTCCTGCCTTTTTTGTTTTGAATCTCTCTCTTCTTTACAGGAGGCACCCAAATGGGGGAAATCCTTTCTCTTTTCCACCTCTCCGGAACCAGACAGACTGAGCTTCAAAGGGCCCAACACGCTCTGAGCTAGCGGCACTAACTGAGACACAGAGAGAGCTCTTTCAATAGCACCGGGGACGAGGAGTGTGGAGGATACAGGACCTGCTGGGCTCGTTTTGCTGGCGGTTGAAGCACTCTCTGCCTGGGATGAACTGGGTTGCTTTTCAGTACTAGGACTTTTTGGGGATATTTCGCTCGTGCTTCCAGGAGACAGAAATGAGGTGCTGTGCTGTTCTGCAGGCTGAAGCGTCTCCTTGTGATCCTTCTCACTGCGATCCGCGGGCCTTACCGAGAGAGGAGTGCTCACGCTTGCCGTGCACCACGAAGAAAGTGCCAGCAGAGGTTTGGAATCCTGTTTTTTCTGACTGCTTTCTGTTAGCAGAGGGTCTTTCAGGTCAAGCTTACCACACGAGGCCCCTGAAAAGTCACCTTCTTCAAGTTCCAGGAGTTTGATAGACGGGCACTGTATATGTTCTGTGCGATCTATTTTTTTTTGAGTACTTGCACTTCTCCCTAGGTCTTTGATTGCTTCAGAAGACTTGTCTTTTGGACCAAAACACTCAAAAGTTTTGTTTTCTGGCAATTTATGTTCCTTTGCAGTTGTTTCTGATCTTAGGAATGGCTTTTCTGAATTAGCTAATTTTTCTGGAGAAGCTTTTGGTAGGACCTCTGATGGGGAAGGGTGCACATCGATTTGCAGTGGCTCTGAAACAGGCTTGGCTTGTTGATTATTTCCCTTCTGCAAATCTTCTGTACCTTTTGGATCTTCAGGTAGAAAGGCATCATCTTCGATACTATCCTTGCTTTCCAATTTAGATGAAAACTTACTATCTTCATTAAAAGAATCTGAGCCTTGGTCTCCACTGTCAGGGGGCTTGTCTAGTCTTCTCCCATCCTGACTATCTTCTGAACCATCATCTGTTTCATCTTCAGAAGAATCTACTTCTCTGATGGCCTCTTGCTTTTGCAGAGACTCCCTCCTCTCCACCCTGTCCTGTCGAATAGCACCCAACTTCCGTGAACCTGGCTTCTGCAACATCCCTTTTTCCGCTAGCCCAAGTTTGCCACCTGTTGTTTCATTTGCAGATTCTTGTAAGCTCTGGAGACTAGGATCCCTCTGTAGCATCTCCTTCTTAAATTCAGAGTGAGAGATATCCAAGCTATGCTTACGTGAGGAAGCCAGCTTCTTCTCAGAAGAGGACAGCGAGGCAGCCAGTTTCTCAGCTGACTGCACTCTCTTTAGCAAAGGAGACCTGGGGGGTTCAGCACTTTTGGGGCGAGAAATCTGTCTCACCAGCGGTGGAGAGGAGTGTAGTTTTACTGGAAAAGACTGAATAATACTGGAGCTGCCAACTGAGTGTCCGGGTAAAGGAGATGGGGAGCGCTGTGGTGATGTGGACTGTGGGGTTGGTGACGGAGTGTGAGCTAGTGGTGACAGCGGGATGTTTCCTGCAGATTTACGCCTCGGAGATCTGTACTGCCTTTGAAGCTTTGGTGCTAGTCCATGCAGAGAGCTGGGTCGGATGTGTCCAGAGCTGGCTGGAGAATTGGGAACACTGGAACTGGGAGAGCTGCTCTGGGAAGAATTGCCGCCAACTTAAAAGAGGGGGGGAAAAAAAAAAAAAAAAGACTAAGAAGAATAATATATATCTGGCCATTAAAACAAGTTATTGAAAATAAGACATGCTAAGTCAAGACAAAACGCCGTGTTACCACAAAGCACTGCAGTAATATTACACAGTAATATTGCATGGCTTCTGATGGAAAATTCACATCATTGTCACACAACACCAGAATATGGTAAGAAACACTCCGCTATCAGAACGTTTTTTTCTGGAAAAAACTTCCAAGCAGATAAACCATGTCTTTCATCGCTATTCTCAAGATGCAAATCTCTTTATTCCATCAGCTGATTCAATTTTCAAATACGACTTTGCCACACTGTTTTGATTCCTTTTCTCTGAACTACTATAGAAAATGTGTCAAACTGCTACAAAAACATTGCAACTTACAATACACATTTGCATCAAAGTGAAAGGATGCTGTAGTACAGCAAATGCATTCTTAAAAGGATGTATGGATTTTCATTTTTAAATGAATCAATGAATGAGGATACATCCATCGTTAAGGTAATTGATATCACAGCTGTCATTTTACTTCACAAACAGACCTACTACCTGCTGCTGTGTATTTTACTTCAAAAATTAATCAATAAGCAAAAATCTTCCCCAAGTTTTTTCTGTTTGTGTGGATTTTGGTTTTGTTTTGTTTCTTTTTTTACCTGAGTGTACAGACTCGGGAGTGGATCTGTAACTCTGTGTTGGTGACCGAGGAGACAGGTTGTGAGTTGGAGAGCCAGGCACACTTTCTCCAGAAGACAGAGAGCGGTTTAGTGAAGATAAACTCCGGCTGGTGTGAAGTAGTGATGCTTGTTTAGTGATCTTCCTCAACAAAGAACTCTTCTTCTTACTGTGGAAGAGCATTCAAAAGTTGTTTACAAGCCCAAATGATTTATTTACCTTTATTGGCATATTTCAGTCAATTTTATGGCACAGTTAAAGAGAAAAAGAAAACAGAAAGAAAAAAAGAACTAAAGGATGTACCTGCTGATATACATCATCTGCAAATTGATTGGACAAGAGCTCTCTTACATTATCTTGGCTACCATTTAATTTTCACAGAGAAACACCAAAACGAACCTTTCCTGACCATCCTTAGTTTTGCTCTTCTTGTTCCTACGAGCCATCTTGGATTTGTAGCTGGCTTTTCGAGCTGGACCAACTTTGATGGATGTGTTCTCAAATGGTGTGGTGGAGATGGACACTTTATTTCCACTCTGTCAGAAACAAGACACATGAGACATTGCTTAATGCTTAAAACGTGGCTATTTGAAGCAGATCTGCAGGCTAAGCAGGTAGGCTGCTAGTTTATTGCTGCCTGCCATTTTGTAATCCTTTGTCAAACTCCATTGTCCCCTTTGCACTTCCACCTATCATTTTTTAAGGAATTGCTGAGAGAGAGCCCTTTAGTCAGGCTTTCACAAATTATTAGCTCAGATCCCAGCTGGCAGGTAAAGCTTCCCAGAGCAGATAGAACACAGCATCTGACCTCTCCCATTGAGATCCCAACTGCCTCAAGTTGATACATGTAATACTTGGAAACTTGAACAAAGTGATATTCCGTCACCAATCCTATTGCCAGTGCTCTGACTGATGGCAGATGCGAGCATATAATTTATCTATCACGATGAATCTGCAACACAGAGCATGGCTTGTCTCACTCATCTTAAAAAAAATAAAAAAAATCCTGATTGCTCCTCTATTTGCAATCCCAAACACTTCTGTCTCTTGGAATGGTCCAAAACTTTAGGTTTTATTTCCATAAATGGATTCAGCTCAGAGAAGGTATCAAAATGCAAGTCATTTAACTGGATAATTTTAAGACCAACCATTACAAAGCTGCTTTTAAATACCACTAGGAATAATCCTTGAGAAAGCAGTATTAAGAGCTAATACCATTAGCACAGCCTAAGGGCAAAAAATAAAAGTAATTTGGAAAATTTTTAAGGTATTTGTTTCTTAAAGTGATGTTTGAGGAAAGGTATACTTAAATCTTATTAACCTTTGTCTCTACTGCTGATAAAAATGTACCTGACAGGTCCTTATTTCTCACACAAAATATCTGAGTTCAGCTTAAATTACATGCAGAATTTTTGGAGATTTAGGGATCAAGCTGCAGCAAAGAGCTTTTGCAAAACAAGGGCCAGGTGCTGTGTACATACTTGTATTTCAGACAATGCCAATTAGATACCTACGGCATTTTAAACAAGCTGGCTCATATTTTTCAAAATGTTACAGTGCTGAGCCCTTACCTTCAGAATCAGCTCCACCACTTCTGTGTGCACCAGTCCATGGACCGGCTCCCCATTGACATGGGTTATCAGATCCCCTTCACGCAGACCTGCTTCATTCGCTGGACCGCCTTCCTCCACGTGCTGGCAACGAGAAGGGGATGACTGATTTGAGAAGAGGAATGTACAAGATCTCCGGCCAGATCAGACTCAAAGCCCATCCATCTCATCTCTTGCTGCAGCCAGCATCAGCTGCTTCAGAGAAGAGTGAAAGAAACCACTGACTGGCACAGCCAAGCACAAAAATCTGCACTCTTCCACTCCTCCCCCAGCATCCTGCCCATCTTCTCCTGATCCAAGGCAGCCAGGATGGTTAAGCTCCTCCCAAAGCAAAAGGCTTAACACATTTCCACTTCCAAAAATTTTCACCACTCGGGAATGTTAACTAGATACTCTTGATTTCCGGACAAGCATTCAATCTTTTTCAGTTTCTTTGCCATTCCAAATCCAGCATCCTTCCGTGTACATGCTGGAACCCAAGGTGGCCAACAGACTTTCTTTCTCCACTTTCCATCCTTTATTAACCTATCCAACATCAGATCTTTTCCCCCATGAACACATTGCCTTTCCCCATCACTGTTCGGAAAGGTAAGCCTCCTTTACAGTGAGGAGGCAGATACGCTTGAGAATGCTGCAACTCTCCCTCTAGCCAGAAAAGATGACAAATCAGTATCTTGGTAAAGTCAGCACTTTTCAAAGAAAGCAGAGAGGAGCAAAGGAAAAATGCAGCCTCAGATTATTTTTCTAGATAAGAATGAGTGTTAAATAATGACGAAAGCATATGAAGTCCAAATTGTCTAATGAACACAGAGATATAAAGAAAAGAATGAACCACCTTTACCCTGACTCCCTTCTCCCTAACTACACAATTCAAACAACACTGCTTCAGGGAACAGATCATTCCTAGAAGTCATATATGTTAACAAAAAAGGAACACAGAGATCAAGTACCAGAAATAATGGGAAGGAAGAGATACAGACGTGGAAAGCAGACCTTTTAGCATAGCACACAGCTAAGCCAAGAGCTAAATCCCTAGGCAATCAGCATAGCAGCAGTGATGCTTTAAGGCTTGTAATCAATTCCAAGCAACTGCTTGGAAAACCCCAGCAGACTGAATTGATCAGAAGCAGGCTATAATCACTAACACAGGTCTGAATAAATTAGCTACAACTGGCACTCATGCAACAAGCCAAAAAAAAAGGAAAGAGGGTATGTACACAGAAACATGCTTTAAAGTATGTGCTACAGGTGAAAGAAGGTGGATTCATGTAACCAGGGAAGAAAGAAGGGAAGAAAGGTTGCTGTGGTTCTGTGATGGGCTTGAAAACTGCTACAGGTAAAACCCAAAGTGCTTTTATTTATTTATTTACTTATTAAGGGTTTCCCCCACACTAAAAAGATAACTTTGGGTCCGGATAAGGAGACAGAAAACAGGGTGGCAAAATACAATTTATAAAGCTAAATCCCACAACCCCAGCTAAATGCATTTCTGGCCCCAAGGGTACTCTTTTTAGAAAAGCAGAGACATACCCAGACCATGTGATGCACAGTGTAGATATCACTGTCACCCATATAGACGCGAATGGCACGGAGAGTGAAACCATATTTCTTTCCAGCCCGATGGATGATGATTGGTGGTTTCAGGTTTGCGATAGCAGGAGAAAAGTCGCGGCTGGGTGAGGAGTCCCTCGAAGATGGGTTGGAGGATAGAGAATGAGGTGACATTGGACTGGCCAATGGAGAACACGTGTGGTGATCTACAGTGATGACACAAAGGTGGGCAAAGATTAGGAAACCAGGCCTCCAAAAGAGAGAAAATTCTTGTTAGAGAACAGCTAGGAAACCGTCTCTCCCAATGCTCTTAAAGCTGGTGGTCTTCACCAGAGCTGGGTTTGCCTGCAGCTTCAATTCATTCATGCTTCGAAATACAAAAATCAGCAGAGTTTCCATAAAGCACATTGGAGGTGTGTATTTAATACAGCAGCACTGCTTGCCTAGGATTATGGTTGGGTCACAGTGTTTACTACTTCTCTTTCAGGGATTTACAACCCATCATAAGCATTTGCTCTAGGCACAATCCTGGAACACCCCATTTCGAGGTTATGATATATTATCCTCCTCCAAAAGATCAGATAGTCTCTAGATCTTGGTGCGAGTTACATGTTAGTGCTGAGATAAATCAAAATCAGTTAGTATTAACACAAAAAAACCCAGTAGGCAATCAGACAGCAACTATATCTAGATAGTTTTGGTAGTGTTTTAAATTCACAGGGGCAAAAATATTTAACCCTAAAAAATTAGCTACTGCAGGGACTTTGCTACTGAAAAACACCACCACAAGTGTATTTTAGAGTACGTTTCCCAAACGAACAGCCGAGGGCTGGGCTATCGGCTAAACTATCTGACTCTGCTTGCTAGTGGAACAACATCCACTTTTAAAAATACAAAGCAAATACAGAACTCTCATTTTAAAGTGAAGCTGGTAACATTAGTAAAATAAACCCAAAGAGCAGGAATATTAAATGCAGCTGTAAAAGGTAATCACTAATCCATTAAGAAACACCTGCTGAATTGCGCCCAGCACATATTTACCTGGCAGACGAGAGCAGCTCTGGAGGAACCTTTGCTGGGTGATTAAATACGCATTTCAGAGATTTTCATGAGGGAGTTTGTAGTTCTAAAAGCAACCAATGCCCAAACCACAAGAAATGTAACGTGCATCGCCATGACGGTGCCAAGAAGCAGTTGCATACCTGCCTCCAGCTCCCTGGCTGAGGGGCAGGCAGGCATTGCTCTGCCAGCAGGTTCTGCTGGGTTGGCAGTCATGGCCCAGCTGCAATACCCTGCTCCCATCTAGGCAGGAACAGGTACAGCCCTGGAAATACAGCATGGTCTTATCCTCTGCAAAGAGGGAGAAAGTCCTTGTGGGGAGAGCCTCCTGCTGAACCAGTCTGTCATAGCTTGGCATGGTTGGGCTGTTCACTAGAAGTTACCACCTGGCATTAGGAATTGTCAAGGTCTGGCTCTGCCTGGAGACAGAGCCGGGCCAACAAGGCAAGCTATTCAGCATTGACTGACTTTGTGAGTTACTTACACCACTGAATTCTTAAACACTCGATCTCAACCAAGTTATCTGGAGTTACTGAAACCTCCCGGTGCATGAACGCATCACATTCAGTTCCCAAACAGCGCCGCAGTTAGCATGTGACCCCCCAAAAATAGTACCTTGAGGGTTAAAATCATTCGGTGTCTCTATACCTCCTTGCTGCACCGCTGTCTAAAGACCAGCTAGGAGCCAGTTTAAACAAAACTAGGGAAAGAATAAGGCCCAGCTGCCATTTGCAGAAGCTGCAGTCAGACCACACACACAATGCTCTTGTCTGTGGCAAAGCAGTATTCATTATCCTGCCGAGTAGTAAATATTAAACCGATTGTAAAAGTTAGATCTCTCCCCTCCTGCCAGCAAGGACATTATTCCAGGAGAGCGAAGGGGGAGGATCTGTCTGCAGACCTTTTGTTTAGTGCTTGCAGATTCTGACAATGCCTCACCCGAGGCATTTCTTACCTGAGGGAATCAGGAGAGACAAGGCAGTAGCGGATGCTGATTTAATCACTTTATTGACAGGTCTTGAGGTACGTTTCTCCCCTGATTCCCCAGAGAGCAACCTGTGTCGTGCCCGCCGCACTGCCAAATCGCTGATGGCTTTTGGAGTGGTAAAGTCTGGGCCTTCATTGCTATTACTGCGAGCTCGTGGATCAGAGAAATCTGCAGTGCTCCCAGCTACAGTTTAAATTAAAACAGATTAGAACCACAGGGAATTCCTAACAGTCTATTCCCCTACAGGCAAAATACATCAAATCAAAGTCATGTTTACATGAAGTCCAAGAGTAAATTTTCCTAAGAAGAAACCCCAGGGCTTGAATTTTTATTTACAGAAATGGTGTTATTCTGAATACAGAAAATTAGTGGCTTCTATTCTGTCAGAAAAGCTCGCTAATGAAATCACGTTGCTCAGTAGCAGTTACATGAATCCTAAAGCTGCGGTGCAGTTCTGCAGGCAAGCCATTTCAATGGGATTGTTCACAGATGAAAACAGGTTTATGGAAAGTGCTCTGTTTTTACAACCAGCAAGAACTGTCAATCTTTAAGTTAAAACTGCCTGTAACAGAAGACCCAGGTTCTACCGGAGTTGCATATAAAAAATCCACTTTAAGAGAATACTAAGGTACTAAAGTCAGGGAAAGTAAAAATGTGGATTGCAAAAACAACCTTAATTTGCCCCCTTCTGTGCACCATTGCAATTAGTCTTGAATTACTTAACCTGCTATAATTATACACAAAATGCAAAGTAATCTTGAAAATCAGACAGGGCATGCAACAATAGCAGATGCTGGGGGCTGGGGGTTGCTGTACTCAAGCTCAGTGCCTCAGTTCCCCATCTGATACCTTAAAGGAGCACTGTGAAAATACATTAATTAGAATTTACAAGGTGCTTAGAAATGAAAGTGGTGAGCATCACAGCAAGTCCACAAGGGAAATTAATCATTCTGTCTTCAAAAGCAAATTTTAAGCAGTATGCAATAAATAAAGCCTAAGGGCCACATTTTGAACAATGAGGACAGAACAAAACATTGATCATCGTTATTTAAGTGGGCACCACTGCTCTGCATACTAAGTAAAGCAGGAAGTACCATGAAAATAAAAATTCAAAGCACCCTTCCCATAGACCTCAGTACCAGATGCCTGTTCAACATTTAACAGCCACAGAGTTTCAAATAAGGCTCCCAGACAATGAGGAACCCAGAATCGGAGGCTGCGTGTGAAAAGGCTGCGATATACATTAAAGGAGCACTCCGAGACAGTGACAGGAATTAAATTCCTTTCTTGCAGTCCCCTGCCTCTGACTTAACTCTGTAGGCTGGGGACACTGAAGCAATGGTATCCCTGAATCCCATGCGACAGATTAAAGACTGCTCTAATGCATTAGGCTCAGGGGAGCAGGCTGCCCAGGGAAGCTTCATTTTTGTCTGTTTCAACTTGGAGATACTCAAATTTGCAATGAAAGTGTTCTTGCAATTTTAAATAGCATGTTTCTAGGCTTGTAGTATGCAATTGAGAAACTAAGGTTCCACTATAGCACCTATGTCATCCATGTATGTGGCAGCTTACTTCCTTCACTCCTACACCTTTTTCCATGGGTTAATGGAGTACACGATGGCAGCACCAGGCCTCTTCTGGGAGGATGAGCCATAGAGGAGAATGGGACAATTTTGAAGGAATTTCAGACTGGATTGCAGAAGAGCAATAATGAGATGTGGGGATCTTTAGCTTTACTCTAGTCTGGAGGCAAATTTCCTCTAAGGCATTTCCACCTTCTGCTGTCAATCCACCATCACATCTGCCCAGTGCCCTTCACCTTGTCCTTGTCCAGTCTTGCTGCCACTCTGACTCCTTGCTCAGTACCCCTTTCCTCTCCTTTCCATCCTCAGTGTATCCATGATTGCTTTGCCTGCTTGCTCTCAGTTTCTCCCAGCAACTTGTTTCTTATTTTCTTAGCCAGTTAGTCCTTGTTCTTCAACACTATAATCTAGTTCTTCCCCTAAATATGCCCTCCTTCTCAAATATTGTCTTGCCAACCTTCAATTCAACTTCCTTGCTCTCTTCCATTGGTCCAAATTTCCTTTTTTTCCTCCTTACTACTTCCCACCAGTTCCCAGCTCTGGCCTCCTCTGTTCTCAGAAACGGGCAGCTTTGCCCTCTGCCCTCCTGGTGCCCTGAAAGGGGCAGGAGCCCAGCCCTGCACTGCGGCAGCCCAGGGCACCATCACAGGGAAGGTCCAGCTCAGCCCAGTGCTGGAGAATGGCCCCAGGACGGTCACAGCTTCTGAGAAGTCAGACACTGACTTCTAAGACCTGCTCTACTAAACTTAGGCTGCGCTTTTTTTAAGCCTGCAACTGGGCTAAATTTTGGGATATTTGGCTGAGACAGCAAGTAGCATGTCCCTGACACAAACCCCACTCCCCCAGCAAATTTCAAGTCTCTACTCCAAACCTTTTGGATAAATAAAACCATTGGAAGCAGGGATCTGTTAGTATGGCTGACACCCATATTCCCCAGCTCCAATTCAGCAGTGATCTGCTCTGAATAATGCTTAAAATAATGCTGCCACAGCTAGGCACCCAGTGGTTGTAATAAGGCATAGATCATATGGGTCTCAAGCATGAGAAGACCTTAATCAATTTTAAGTGACAGGACTGAAACGTAAGATGTAATTTTGAAGAGATTAAACCACTGATGCTATTTCAAAGGTAAGCACACCCACAAAGCTGTACTGAAATAACTACTTAGCATGAGACATTCACAACACCCAACATCCAGATCCACAGTTTTACAGTGTTAACGTCTGCAAGCTAACATGGCTTTCCTGGGGACCACGACACCATCACACTGAGCACGCACCTGTCAGCGTTGAGGCACTGCTGATGGCTGCGGAGGGGGTGGTGGGTCCACCATCACCTTCCAGCTGCAGCTCCTGCTCCACAGGCTGTTCTGGAATGGGCACCGGCAGCCCCTCCCGCGACTGCACAGCGGATAAGAGCATCCCTTCGGACTGCGGCCTTTTGAGAACAGTTCCCTCATCCTCAGTGGAGATGGCAAAACGGGGCATATCAAGAAGCCCTGAGCAGCGTCGGCGGACCGTCAAGGGTGGGCTGGAGTCACTCTCCGTGTGGGAGGATTCAGACATAGACAAGCGCTTACGCAGTCTAAGAGAAAAACCAAGACAGAGCCCTTCAATTAAGTTAGGGGGATAATGAACTTTAAATGGTGACAACAGCACACACCCCCAACTCGCACATCTGAAGCCAATTTAAGGCGAAGTTAGGAGACAAAGCTACATTGTTAGGACTTAAAACAGCAAAAGCTTGGGGTATCACCTGAGTTTAGATTTCCAATATATTCCATTGTTAAGCTTCTAAGAAAGGAAGGAATAAAACCAAAGAAAAATACAGTACAATGAATAGGATATTAAATATTATAAAAATCACAATTACAAAATGCAAATCATCATCCATGTTCCTTTTGGAATTAGATGATTTTTTTCTTTCAAAGTTGCTGTAAATTTGAAGCCAGGAAGGCCTAATGCAAGATGAGCGCGCATTAGTTAAGAGTGTAATCTATAAAATGTTGGGGTTTTTTTAATGGAGTCATACAGAATAGATCACAACCACATTTTATGATCTTTCCAATGCCAAACGTTAGTGTAAAAGCTTTACAGGAGTTGCACAAAATGAGAGATATCCCTTTTCTAAGGAAAGTTTGACAATTATTTCAGTAATGCGAGAAACACGGTGGGTATCCAAATTCTGGGTATTCATATATTTTACTGACATTTTTTATTAGAACACAAGAGTTTTTTGGATACTCCGAACTTTATACACTTTGGACTTTACTAATGGCTTCTCTAATTTGTGACAAACGGTAAAAATCTGGCAACACCAGACTTTTGATTCACTGATGTTTAAGAAAAAACTACTGTTGGTACATCTCTGATGTAACTAGTCTTTCCACAAATGAAAGCTTTACTGGAGGTTAGAATCCCTTTAAATTAATTTAAACTATTTGCTACAAATTTAGGAGATGTTAGTACTTAACTAGATACATTTAAGGACCATATCACTTCTACACATTCATTTTCAGCTATTTATTCCAGGCTTCACCTGTGGAAATACAACACACGAAGCATTCCTGACCTAACACTGGTCATGGAAAACTCTGGCACAGGTTGGTCTTTCTCAGATGCTATGTGAAACCAAAAGACTTAGTTCTGCAGAACTTACATTTCAGGAGACCCAATCACCCAGCTGCGGTCTCGACTCTTCAAGCCGCCAAGGCTATCCAGTCGGTCATCTTTTTCTTCACTCAGACTCCGTTTAGTTGGTGGTGGAGTCTTCCTCTCTTCGTGGATGGAAAGACGTTCCATGCTGCTGTACACCTGCATATAGCAAAAGACAGAGAAAACAAACCCACGTGGCCTTTTCTGATCAACGGGCATAATCTCTTCTCAAAATGGAAGATATTCCCTGAAAGTATGAACTTGGGAATGTTCTCTGGCTAAATAACACAGTGCGGATGTGACATGCTCAAAGTGTGCCAGGGAGGAGAGGAAAAAGGCAAGCTTCAGAAACACTAAACAAGCTTTTCTACAACAGCACCCAACACCTCTCCTCTGAAAACAGCCCAGAACACCACAGAAATACTAAGATTTTTTGAAACTACTTGATTTTTGTTTTTAATGATTCTCAAATCTAAGAGGATATATTGCTAAAGCAGGCTCCACAAGTCTTGAAGGCTAGCATCTGGATCCTGAAATCTTACTACACAAATTCAATTCAGTGATAGGCATCATGCTCATGACCCCATTTCATTATCATCAGTCTATCAGCATTGCCCCAAGCTTATTTCAGAACAAAAAAGTCCTGCCCTCCTCAAGGAATCTACTATAATGCTGACAGCTTAATGAAAGTGCCTTTCTTGGTTTTACAGCCGTCTTTAAATAATTAAATGATTAAGCAAAAAAATCCATCCTTTTAAAACTACATTTGACTGTGGACCTAATTTACATAAGAAGAGATTAATGAAAATAATGTTATTAAAAATTCAGAGCATCAACAAGATAACTATTAATAAATCATATGGCTGAATTGTCAGACAAGAATTTCAAAATATAATGAGCTTTTTATGCCTCCCACATTACAAATGCTGTATAATTTTCCAGGTCTTAAAATAAATTCATTAAAAGTGAACTTTTTCTCTTTGTGGCAAAAACACTGAACCCTAAAGAAAAGCTTCAGTCTAACAGATGAATAATACTCATGGTGAGAAAAGGCAGAAAAAAGAAACCCTTACGTACTCATGAGAACTTTTTCAAAACCCCAACTAATCCTCAGGTCCAATTTTAAACATACTTTTGGTGATGCAAATCAGGAGCAACTCCAACAAATTAATGGTAACTGTTACTCAAACCACTGTAGCCCGGCTGAGGACAAAGAAGAACAAACTGGTGCTTCAAAACTGACTTCAGCAGCGGAAATCTGGAGGAACTGCCATGAAAAACTGCAATATCTTTCAGAGGCCCTAAGTAAAGTTCCTACTCCCATCTCATTAAGAAGAGGGAAATACAATTCATAGAGCAGGCTAATCTCAAAACGGCATTTATTCTCCCTTCTGCCCTTTCCCAAACATACTTTATTTTATCCAAGCTAACAGTGGAGTTGTACTACTTTGAAATATCCAGAATTCCAACTTTTTATTTCAGATCACCTGAGTAAGAATGAGAGACCTGCACAGACCTGAATCCAGAAAGCATGGCTAGAGGGGACCTCCTCAGGGCTCCCTGTCCATTTCCCTACCTCAAAGCAGAACCAGCTCTCTTGTAACACCTGACAGATGTTTCTCCAACCTGTTCTTAAAAGCTGCCAGAGATGGAAATTCTACGAATTCCCCAGGCAACCCATGCCAGTGCTCAATTATTGTTCAACATTGGAAACTTTTTCTTACCATCTACCCTATACCTCCTTTGTGCCCATCATTTCATATCAGTTCTGGGTAGAACAGGAAGACCAAAGTACTCCTTTTCTTCTAGCAGTTATGTATCTGGAAACACATTAGGTTTTATGTTTTGTAGATCTCGGATCATTCTTGTTGCCTTCCTCTGGAGTCTCTTTTACTGGTCCACGTTTATTTTCAAGAATGTTGCCCAGAACAGGACAGAGTACCCCAGCTATGGCCTTCCTACTGCTAAGCAGATGGAAAGGATTTCTTCATTTGCCTTGCAGAAAATATTCATGCTTTCCCAGTATGGTAGCTGCCTTTTTGCTTCAGTAATTTGGCACATCTCACAATGCACTGTATGCCCAGATCCTTCTCTGAAATTGTCACCTCGCCTTTTGTTCCTCAGGCTGTATTAGAGACAATGAACAACAGCACAGGTGTAAACTTCACTTGTGCTAGTACTGCATGGGATCCCTTTGATTTTAGACCATTATTCCAAAATGTCAGAATCAATTTTCATCCTAATACCACCTTGTCACCTACTGGAAGACCCTTTCAGAATGACACTGTTCAAAGCAAATAAGCTTTGGACACTTCCTATGCCAGCATCCAAGTCATTAGTAAAAATATCAAACTGTATCAGATGCAGAAGAGACCTCCACAGTACCCTGCATATTAGTGAAACATTAAGAAATACAAAATCTCACTCTCCAATTATTCTGGTACTCACACTCACCTTCTAACAGGCCACAAACTATCACAGAATAAACAACATATACAGTTTTTTCTTTCCTTAGTGAACACTGAACACTATGCAACTCCCACATATCATCTGCATGATTAAAATCTACCCCATACGAAGCAATGAAACTGTGTTTGTCTCAACACTTGTTTTCTTTCAACAAGCTAGCATGCTCCTACCTTGCTGAACCTCGGCGAGCAGGAGGAAAACTGACGAATTTCCACGTGATCATCATCATTAGTGTCCTCCTCTTCTTCCGAATCCAGGTGTTGGTATCGTTCTGAACGGGCTGTGAACAAGACGTGGCACATTTCATCAGTGCAGGGAGTGTTGATAACTCGCACCTAAAGCATTCCTACTTGTCTGCTTACAAAGAACTTTGAGTGTTCATATACCATGCAGGGTATTTTCCTTAATACTGAAACATACCCAGCCAGTTTTGCTCATCCTGTACAATTCGCAGTGAAGAATACCTCCTTCCTACTGAATTTATCTTATATTATCAGCTATAATATATTCTAAAAGCAGCTGATACTCAGCAGGTCTCTAATCCTGCAGACCCTTCACGGTAGGGGTATTTCCTCCCTACAGCAAACAATCACATGGAAGGAAACACGGAAACAATTCACTGTCCCAAGTTCCAATAAACAGCCTTATGATTGTACAAAGTCTCTCCTGCATACATACATACAAGCCTTCTTTAAAAAATAAAAATATTTATCGCCCCCAAATATTTCCTCTTCTCCCTCCTACAAGTAGAAAAAGGATTAGATTTTGTGAAAGAAAATGGGCAAGCAGCCAATATGCAAAGCTATTTTTTAATGCAAAAATCGAAACTGCCTCCAAAGAGATTTTGTGCCTTGACATTTGCAGCACTGGATTTCTAAGCTAGCCACATTGGATTTTGTGGGGCAGGCATTAATAAGTTTGGCTACAGAAAGCTGATAGCTATCCTGAGCCAAATTTGCTGCACTGTATCAGCCAGAAAGCTACTTTCATAAATTCTAAAATTTTCTGCATTAGGGTTTATAACAGCAACACCAACTCTTATCAGTGTCTATGTGAGATATTTCCTGACATGAGAATTCCCGCCTTTATAAAGGACTCACTTCAAAGTCACCGTGATAACCTGCTGAGCATGCCTGGGCACTTGGAGAGTTTGCCATCATTCCTACTTGACAGACCCAGTGATTTGCACCACTGAACATAACGTCGTCCTTGTACCCATCAGGATCCACTCATGGCTGCTGTACTGCACCTCTCCCAATCACTGACCCAATTCAGTGACCAGAGCTCAAGCTTCAATGTCTGGTAAGTCCCATTAGCGGTGGGAACACACCGCCACTTCGGTTTCTACATGTATGTTGTACCAATACAGCCTCAATACATGCAAAACGCACCTCAGCCCCCTCTGCACAGCTTGACTCAAATTGTTCTCTGCAGCAAGTACATGGAGATTTCTCAATCTATTTCTTTCTCCATCCTACCCCTCCATCCAAACCCTAGCCTAAAAGCCTCTTCCCCAAACTGGAAGAGCACTATCTAAATAGGATCGCTGCTTTTGCAGCGTGGCAGCCAAGGGGCTGAAAGCAGGCTGCTCTCTCCCTCCCCTTCACCCTGAGCAAAGCACAGGAGCAGAGAAAAAAATGTGCTTCATATGCAGTCAGTGAGTCCCATGGCCCTGGGGGAAGGATGGAAGAGATTCCATTGAAGTAGGGCAGAAATTTCCATAGCTCAGGAAACTGAAATAGCCCAGTATCATCCTGTGCTGCAGCTGGAGTGGGGGAGAGACCCCCCTGACCAGTGACAAGCCCAAGCCCTTTCCACCTGCTCAGCTCCCCAGGTCAAATGAGAAAAGCTAGGGAGCGAAGGCTCTGGGGACAGAGACCTCTCCATCCCTCACATGACGCTTCTCCCTTCTCTTCCAAGAGCACCAGCTCTGTCTGCTGCTTATCTGGAAATACCAGGAATCTTACATAGCATTGATACCATGGCAGTTCCCAGACATTTATACACACCAGACAGGCACTTCACTTCATATCTCATCAGAGTTAATGCTACTAAAATAAGGTGATACACTTGCAGTGAAAATGATTTAAATTACTTAAAATCTCTAAAGAATTTTCCCTACATACTTGTCTTCAAGGTTTAGAGTTTGGATTTTTAAAAAAAAAAAATTTATTGGCTGAAAACAGTCACTAGGGAAAGATAATATTGCTCAAAAACTCAAGGAAGTTGGATTTACCAAATGATTTGAAAGTACTATAATAAACGCAGCATAACAACTGCAGCACCTCTCACTGCAGGGCCATGGCTGGCAGGACCACAGGCACCAGTGAAAGGCCAATTGACTTCATCAGCAACACTTTTTTATTTAAAATTAATTTGCTTTCAAAGAAACCTTACTTAGCATTCAATGGAAACTTTTTAAAGCAATTTCCATCAAGTGTTTTATTTAATTTCCAACAATGACTTATCTCTAACAATTTCAAAAATGAAATATGCACAAAAAATATGATGCCATTCAGGCTGAATCTTTAGTCTTACTGTCAAAATAGCTTGTGTCATCCTCAGATTCCAACTGTGGGATGAATTCAGCTTTCTGCCGAAGTAATCCATTCCAGTCCAAATCTTTAAAGAACCGATGCTGTTTCACTTCAAAGGCACTACCTGAAATAAGCATCTTTTATTACAGAGTACTTCTTTCAGCATTTGCATAACAAGAAAAACAAACCCTAAAAATATCACGAGCCTAAGAGAATGTACCTGAGTATATTTAAGTCACACATTTTCCAGGAATTCTGAGAAACTACTTATCCTTTTACCAAAGCGGTAATGCAGGATAAAATCTGAAGATTGCCTTCTTCCCACCTCCTCTTCCTGTTTAATGACAACACATGACTAAAATGACTGGAAGACAGCATCTGCTGTTACATTCCACAGCAAGTTGCAAGATTAAGAACTAATTGACATCTTAATTTAAAATTTCCAAACTCTAAATACCATCTTGTTCATAGCTGAATACAGAGAGCAAACTCAGAAAGGTACTTCGCATGTGAGTGGCTCCACTGTCATGAATAAACTCATTCATGTGCTTAAAACAAGGCAGAGGCTTATGTATCTTCCTGAATTAGTATCTTTTGTTATTAACCTCAGAAACTTGGGTACCCAGAAGGAAAAACTAAGGATTATCTGTCTACTAGTATATGCATTTTTTTTGCAAATTAAATTAATATTCATAAAAGATGCTACTGTCTTTTTAAAAAAGAGAATAGCAGAGGAAAAGAGATAAAAGGTTTTCTGAGTGCCAGTGGCACTACGAGATGCCAAGTGGAACAGCAGTCTCAGCACTACAGGTATATAAGAAATCAAAAAAATCAGTCCATCAACTCATTTTATAAGGCAAGAAACTCTACATCTTTTCCATGACAGCAACATCTTTCAAGTACATGGATTTGAAGTAAAGAAGAACATGTGAAAACCATCTGATATCATTATTAATTCATGATCTATTCATCACCCTTGTGTACACGTGTTAAGTCTGCTGAACACATGTGCCTTTTGGAATTGTTATATATATAATTTTTTATAAGGTTTTTTATCCTTAAAGTGTAGTTTCCAATTGGAAATCCAAAATTAAATCAAACTAATCAAATCAATGAAACAGACAACCTGTGCTGTGAAGCCACAGTGTTGCACAAATTATTTTAAAACAAGAATGTAGCTAGAGATTATTTATGGTTATTTACTATCAGGAAATGGAAGTGTTGGCTTGTAAAACTTTAAATCTGATATTATAATACAGAAAGATTGACATATGCATCTGACTTTGCCAAACTGATTATCAGACTTTGTTGTATGTTTGGGGAGTTCTACAGTACAGCCTCTAGGAATGGGAAAGTTTTCATTTATTTTATTACACCCAGGAGTTCACATCCATGTAGGGGATTAAGCCCCTAGTCAAAGAGAACTTCAAAGAAATCTGATTATACAGTGTTCAAATGGAGACCCAACCCTCAAGCCTTCAATGGAACAGCACAATTTTGAGAAGTTATGTTGCCAAGCTGGCAGTGCCCCTTTCTTATTTCCCAAACAAGACAGTAATATCTGACTCGTACAATCTACATGAATTCTCAGAGCTTCATCACACAAGATTCACTGAACCCAGTATAAATCGTTTCCCAGCTCTAGATGAGCATTTTTCAACATGGGTGGGTGTGTATCACTGGCAAGGTACCTTCTTTTCCTGCTTCTGGCTAGTACTTTCCTATGCACAAGGTTCCTACCTGTTCCCATTCTTTCCAGAGGATTTTGGCGGAGAAGCTTAGCAATGAGGTCCTGGGCATCTGGTGGCAGTGCATCATCACCTTCTGGCCAGGCAATTTCATCTGGGGACAAAAAGAGACTTGACATTTTCTACCAGCTTCACGACCAATTTGAATAACCATTCACATTCCTATACCATGAAATGCAGTGTTCAGTACTGCCCCAGAATCGTAAATACCTCGAATTCAGCAGCTTGCATACTTAATATAATTCAAGCATTGACATTTTCCAAAATGCATAAAATTCAGCGTCAGCTAAAGCTGCTGTCAATCCAAGCAGTGCTTGTGGAGAAAAAAAAGCAATAAGAACTCTATTAATAAAGTATGAAATAGGAGAAATGGGACTTCCATGACAATCTATAAACAATGACAATGACAATACTGCAGCTGTATCTCATGCCCGCACATTCCACACTCGTTATACTTGGAACAGAGAGAACAATTCACAGGTAATGATTTCATGCATCATATTTAATTCTTTGCTGAAATTTGCTTTTTACAAAGGACATTTGCCAAGTGTGTTAAAAATTTACTGTTTCAGAAAGCATTCCCAATAGGAAATGTTTTCACTGGCATATTCACTGAGAGAACACAAAGCAATCATTTGTCCAACTCCAAGCAGGAGAGAGGTTTAAAAAGCCACAAGACGTGAAGGTACCGAGTACAACAGCTTCGATGTGTTTTGCTTACAATTTCCTTTTTATTTCATTTATACAACAATTACTAATTGACTGACATTTGCACCTACAGAAGCAATAACCAAAATCAGACTGAATTAGACCAGCTGGCGGCTGCTCCGTTCATATTCTCCATCATTTAAGTTAAAAGACAGAACAGAAAAATCCCCAAATATTTTTCCCCAGTCCCACAAGGATTTGCATGACTCCCATACCATGCACAACAACAGAACTATCTAGCAAGACGTGAAGCAACTCAACAACTTTCGATAGCTTGAATGAGATGGATGCTACTTTGACACAGAAAGATAAATATTTTAAAACTAAACCCCATTATTCTATACCTAGTCCTTCCCGACTAAACTGTGGATCCTCTATATTTTCAAGGTTTTACTTCACAGCACACTTTGAAACCCCTTCAGAGTCAGAACAGAAACATACCACTGATCACTTGTCCAAACAGCTCTTCAGGTGTGTCCCCAAAGAAAGGAACACAGCCAACTAGAAACTCGTACAGGATAACTCCCATGGCCCACCAGTCCACGGGCTTCCCATAGCCCTGGCGCAGGATCACTTCTGGTGCAATGTATTCCGGAGTCCCACAGACCTCAAGAGAAACACACAAGAAAGCAATAAATCTACAAATTGCCAAACTCACATCAAAGCTTATTTTGTCTTTTTTTTTCTCTCCCCCCTCAGAGTTTTACAAGGAAGTTTATGTTTTGCCACTAACCACTTAATGCTCTGAACTACTTCCACAGAGCAAGAGTCTATATTTGAGGAACACATTACCTGCACAGAAGTGATATCACATACTATGAAATATTCCGAGTGTGGACATGCCAGCTAAGTAGTTCTTTGGTGTACGTATAGTAAAGCATGGGGGAAAAATGCATAGTCTGTGTGTGTACGTCTGTCTGCTTGATGGATGTCTACTGGCACAGCTATAGCTATCAGGAACTGAGTTTTGACAAACCTCTCACATCTTTGTGCTAGCAGAATTTAGTTTCACAGATGCAGAATTAGCCATACAGCATGATTACACACTTCAGCATTTAAATTTGGGAGGTACAGCTGGCACAGACAATGACTAAAGAAATCACGTTGGAAAATCTAAGTTGCCTTGGCTTAGAAGCAGCAACAATAACAAAATAGTTGTAAAAAATATAACGCTGCAAAGTGCAAGACCACGATCTAGTGACCAAAGAGTGTTCCTGCTAGAAAAAACATCGTTACTCAGAAGCAAAGGAAGACAATACCACAGGATGATTATGAAGTAACAACTTGGCACAGCTAGAAAAGAAAATTCAGCTGCGATCCTAGGTATTTTCAGAAGAGAGAAGTATTTTTTAATCCCATTATACAAGGCACTGGTGAGCCTGCATCCAGAACATAGTTCCTGTCAACTATGCCCAGGAAATATCAACTCAAGTTGAAAGAGGTGTGTGGAAGAGCTATTCATTCATCAAAGGAAAATCTATCTTGTTATCTAGAAGAACTTAGCTGGTTAAGCCTAGCAAAATGAAGGCTAAGGAGAAAAACTACCCTTAGTAAATATCATGGGGATAAAAATCAATGTTTAAGCCATCAGACAAAATTACAAGAAGAAACAAACATATAGGAACTTGCCATGAACTTCCTAAGCACCAGAAGGGGGAGACGGTGAAACAACCTTCCAGCAAAATCCATGTTACATCTCTAAACCAATTTCTGTTCACACCTGCATTGCTGCCTGGGCCACGCTTTCAATACCCTAAACTAAGAGCTGAAGTGCATCACTCCAAAACAAGAAGCTGAAATAACAAACAATACCAATTTCTGCACAAACATGAGAATGGACTTGTATCTTCCTCCTATTCTACAACACACAGCACAGTGTCCAGGCAAAGAGGGAGTGCTACAAACTCCAATTCTATCCTGAGACAGAATCCTGCATCTGATCCCACATCAACAGACAAAATTTTTCAGCTTACCTGCTTGTCCAGGAATTCCCTGGTATCCTTCTCAATGTGTCCCTCGTAAAGATTCGTTGTAAGACTCATCAACCCAATTTTAGACAGTCCAAAGTCTGTGAGTTTAATGTGACCCATGGAAGTTATCAGGAGACTAGAAGAAAGAGAAGCAGCAAAATAATCCAACATTCAATTAATTGTTTCCCAAAAGCAATTTAAAAAAAGAACACCACAAGATGCTAAGCAAATTCTCAGTGTTACATCCCCATCAAACACCTGGAAGGAACCTCCTATGCAACTGACTATCACAAAGCAGCCAAGGCAACTAATTTCATCATAATTTTGCCATAATTTCATCAGTGTAGCAACAGCTTTGAGATAATATCTGAAGACTTTCCTCTAACTCTTTCCTCAGTGTCTATCTGGATCAACATCAGTAGGAAGAGACTCTATAAAATCTCCTACATGTCAGATGCCACTGAAGATCTCTACTGTCTCTAGTCTCCATGTCCTCTTGCCTACTGAGAAAGCCCCTGAAAAACTGGGTCTCTCCCTCCAGCTTCTGAAGAGCTAAAGACTTACTTATCAGGTTTTAGGTCACGGTGAACAATCCCGTAATTGTGTAGGTACTCCAATGCCAGAACAGTCTCGGCAAAATACATTCTCGCCATATCAACAGGTAGGGCACCAATGTTCTTGAGAAGTGTAGCACAATCACCTCCTAGAAAAAAAGTTGCAAATATGGCACAGTGAAATGGCAAATATCAGTAAGAAAGAAGAGCTACAGGTCTACAATACTAGATTAGAGTAAGTTTCCTAAAGGCTGTCTCTCTCAAGCCTGTTAGCCTGAATTCTAAAGCTCTCTCTACACTCCATCTTGAGCTTTAAGTAAATATTAAAATCTTAGGAAAACTGAGATCCATGTATGTTGGGCATGCTTGGTCAAGAAGCGTACAGGTGCCATTTCCAAACTGTAAGCAAGCTTTGAAGAAAGGGCAGTTCATGACTGTTTGGCCTTTCTATAAATTTCTTTGCTTTCCACCACTGAGACACATACTACTTCTGATATACAAGCTTCTTAAAATAGTAAGTAAACACCTCTACAACTACTAACTGGCTCTCTCTACACATGGAGAGGCAGCCATGCCTTTGGACACAGGCTATTCATGAAAATAAGTCTGTGGGCCCCTGATTCAAGCTTCTTAAGGAACACTGGCCACACATTTCTTTCAACCTTCATCTCTACTTGCAAATAGGAATTAATATTAAAATTTGTTATGTCAATACATCTGTTTTCATTCCACTAATTTATCTGAAAGAGCACTGATACAATAACTATAAGCTTATTTCTCATAAACATTCAGCCAAGCAAGCCAGGCATAAGAAATTAATCCCATCCACCAGCGGAAATATATTGCTTACAATAAGATACAGTGATAAAATAAAATCGAATAATATTCCAAAGAATAAGCAAAACCAAAAAACCAGCATAAAATAGCACTGTATTTTAAAAAAGGCTGCTAAAGAACAAAGACTGTGTTGCTTGGTGATGTTTCTTAACTGTCTTTTTCTAACTGTAATGCCAAGCAAACGGGCTATGGATCTAGCCATGCCATCCCATAGGAGAGCGGGACAATTTCTTTCCAGTGAGGACTGGAAAGTTCACGCTGACTTCTGACCCCAGCAGTTTTCTACATGTGGCTTTATGTTTCCTCAGCTCCACCGCAATCATGTTGTGTTAGTCACAGGGATTCACAAATGCAGTATGTCCTTATGCTAACCTGTGCTACCAGTAGGTAGAATGAGTCATTTCTCCAGCTCAGCCCAAGCAGTCCATACACTCCTCCCTAAAAGGGCATCACGACCTCCCCTGTGACTGCAGGGCTGACTGAGCTCACCTTCCATGAAGAAAGGACTAGCACACACATGAGATGGTCTTCCCACTTATTGTGTTCAGAGCAGTGCACTTATCAGTCTTACACTCAAAGCACACATCTTATAAATCACTCGGAAATGTCATCCTTTATGAGGAGACACATTGCACACATGCTACACGTCCATCCTATCTAAGGTCCCTTTGCAGGTGTAGATAATGACAACCATACCTTCCACATACTCCATAACCATGCACAGGTGGCGCTTGGTCTCAAAGGAGCAGAACATGCTGACCACAAAGGGGTTCTCAGCAAATGTCAGTATATCTCTCTCCACAAAAGCCTGCTGGATCTGGTTTCTCAAAATTAGGTTCTGTTTGTTGATCTTCTTCATGGCAAAACGTTGACGGGTGGTCTTGTGTCGCACCAAATACACTGCTCTAGAAAACCACATACCAAGAGGAAAAGTTCCATTTTCAGTTCAAACTGGTTTTTGTTTTGTTTTGTTTTGTTTTTTAAACAGTGATGGTAACTGTTTTGGATGGATCCTAACAGACTTATCCGTGACTCCATAAAATCCCATCTCAGCGCCAAGCTCTCCGAGAAAAGAAGGAACCCCATGACGCTTCCTCCCAAAAGCTACTCTGCCTTCTTGAATTAAGCAGCATTTTTGCTGATGTGACTAACAAGGAGATATTTCAGACACAAATGTCACCAACTTCCTCATTGTGGAGAGGCATGTATTTTTCAACACTACAGTCACCATTTCACTTAAAAAATTGTCCAGAACTTATGGAATCAGCACGATTTCTTTCCAAGCTCCATAAAATTAATTTGATGCAACACTGTCACCGGGGATTTCCTTCAGTAAAATATCTCTTACATTTCTATCATTTGCAGATCATTAGATTCCTGCACATTAATAATACAGTTTGCAAATAAAATTTTCATCCAGTTTGCCTGCCTTATTGAATCAGTACTTGTTTCCTTTTCTCTGGAGTATATTACATTTAACATGGTATTGTGTCTCACCAGCAGCTGACTATAAAATACACCCAGTATAAAGACAGATATGAGTAACAGCAAAACTACCACCTCTCCCTGCCCTTTTTAGAAAGTTATGTTTAAATCACCAGGCCTGTGCAGAAATATGCCTGAAAATGTATAAAATTGTCTTGTCTAACAATGTGTCTCTTTGACCTGCTCCGTTGTGTTTTCACTGACTAAAAAATATGCTTACGCTTTTTCTACATATAATTTTTAAAAACCAAGTTGTTATTAACTAAGCACACACTTCAACAAAACACTCAAGCACATGCTCAGGTTTTGCTGTTATGACCTACTGAATATCAGTGCTTTTCAGTTACAACCTAATGGCTATCACTGGTAAGGATTTATGAACTGCAAAGAGTCAGGAACTGTCTTTAAAATTCTGGATAGGTTTGTATGAGTGGTTAAAATTTTAAACGACCAACTTCATTCTGGATTCTTCAATGGATAATAAAATCTAATAGCATTTTTACTGTATTACTTCTCACAGTAGATTTGCCCCAATGTAATTTTAGCATTTCTTTTAGTATTTCAAGCGCTCAGAAACAGCCACATATGTTACATATATAATCTGAATACATGGAAGAATGGAAAAGCATAAACTACTTCTCCCTCAATATTCTTGTTGTTTCAATGAATCATCGATAACATTTGCAACTACAGAATTTTATCCTCACTCATTTAGCCTTCAAACAAACAAATCACAGGACTTAACCAGACAGCATGAAAGGAAACACAGACTGCCTTGCTAAGCAATAAGGAAATGTGTGCAAAATAATTTTCTCAGACTCATGGAACTATATTTTTTTACTATTACTTAGGAAATCTCACAATAAACTAAGTGACAATATTTTCCCTAGAGACAATGTTTAGGGAAAATGTTTTTGTCATCTCAGCCTAAGGTACTGAAGTGTCTATATTTCACCTACCTACCATAAAGAAACAGTGCCGAAATAGTTACTGGAAAAACAGGCTTGTGGTCACAGCTAGGAAGGGCTTCAGAAAACTTGTGCCACAGAAGGATTAGGAATACCATATTCTGAAAGCTTTAATGTAGGGCAACTAATTTTCCCAAGCTGTGTGTCAGTTCAGTGCAACATAAGGACTTCACAGCCAGGCACTATGTCCAGGTACAGGGGCCATCATCTAAGAAACCCCAAGAACGCACAAGAAATGGCATCTCCCAGAAGAATGCGGAAGACATCACAGGTGTGGAACCTCTCTAAGACCCAAGCAAAATTCATTTATGCTTTGGACCTGTGGTGGTGCATTTCTTTCCCCCTCTCCGGGCTGATATACAAACTCCGGAAGGCTCACTGGGCCTTAGCATAAGCGTAATGAGTCGGGCAGTTAAGGGACCCTTGACTCTGCCAGGAACCCTTACACAGCTAAGACACGAAGATATGCTGTGCGTCTCAAGGACTTCTGCCACCCAGCAGAGGCAGAGGGAGGGGAGTAGAGATAGCCAGTTCTCATAATGACCTCGAGACATACAGTCCTCCCCTGACAATCTTGGAGCATCCCGTATCTCTGTTTTAAGTTATTCTCAGACAGCCTTGGGGCCTCGGGGCATGTGAAACGGTACCAGCACAGCTGGGATTCTAGCAATTTGCTGCTGACAAAAGTCAATCATCTCCCGAACCTATAGAGAGCGGTATTAAATGAGGCCCTTTCAGCTCTCCTGGACTGCAGCAGGCTGCGACCAGCATCTCCCTGAGCGGGACGCCTTTCAGAGCTCGCAAACTTTCCGGTTTGTGAAAATTGCAGGTTTGCCGCTGAAAGCTGACACGACCTGGGCTGATACTCTCTGCTCCTTGAGGCTCGACCCTTCGCCCATTGAAAACAATGCCAAAGCATTCGACATGAATATTTTCACTGACTTCGAGGGGAATTTTTAACAGGTCTACCTCTTTTTCTCTCTTTCACTCTCTTTTACCCTCTTATATGTATATCTCTTAGTGCCTTTACGCATGCGTGTGTACTAACCTGAATAGTCTATAGTAAGTATATTATAGCAGGTATATTATAAGTTATTACTTTCAAATTTATACTTAAATTTCGGTCATGATTTTTATTCAACTGTGAATGAATTTTAGGCTGCTATTATACTCATAATCCCTTTGGATACAAATCATTGACCAAGTCTGGGACTAGGAGTCAATCCAGCTGCACCTAGACTCCAACAGGAGTTTAGAAAGCAAGGGGGTCTTCTCTGAACCTCATGACTCAGTGGGAGGGACTCCCTTGCCCTTTCCCACATTCCTGATCTTTGCACAAATCACAAGAAATTAATTCTTTGCAACATGCCCTTTTACCCTATTACGGTTTCGGTCCCTATATACATAAGTTTAGTTTGATTCTAACTTAATTTTCCTGTGTGAATTTCATCCACGTACTAAGTAATAGAGCGAACCTTGCCACCAAATTCTGTGAAGCCGCACTTTCACGTAAATTTCTATTAAATCATTTTCCTATTGCTAATACAATTGGAGGTGATTCCTTTAAGTGATCCAAACCCCTCATTTCCCATCGCCGTGACAGGACCCAACAAAAACCAGTCATTCACCAAACTTTGCTATAGCTCTTCCCTGAGTAGGACAATAATAGTATTTTCTTCTAAAGCAAAGTCTGAAAGTCTTACCCATAAGCACCATTACTGATCAGTTTAATAGTTTCAAACTCTTCTTCAGATGGAGTTTTCTTTGACTGGACAGAGGCCCCACGGCTCTGGGGAAAGAAGATAAGAAAATGGAAATCAGGAGCAGGAATGACTTAATTCTACAAGTCACTTTTTTGCCTTTTCTTCTTTAAGCAGCATTCACCCAAACTCAATCCTTTTCTAAACCTCTGGAGTCCTCAGCTTTAGGATAACTGTCTGCATCCCTAGGACCCTTGCAGATTCCCTCCACAAATACTAGCACAAAAAGTCAGTGGACTGTAAGATTCAGGCCCTTCCTCAACATTACATTTTTAAAAAAACAATAAAATAAACAACTAACAATCTTTGAAACCTAGCAAGTTATATAATTAAAGTTTTCCAGTGGTCCATTACTAAAGTCAACTCTCTTCAATACCGACCACATTTTACAAATGCAGATATAAAGAATTTCTCCAGATGATTTTTGTTTGCAACTAAAAAGCCATGAACATAACTTGATGATAATGCCTGTTTGCAACTTTTAAGCATTTCACCACCACAGTATAGAGATTTCCACATTTTTATGAGTGTATACTCTAGTTTTAGTATGCGCTTTTAAATGTCAGCACTTTTTTTTTTTTTTTTAATTAAAATTACTCTGCTTTATAATTAATTCTTTACTGTAGACTACTTCTTTCCAGAGAAAAAAAAGTGCTAGACAGAGTGAGTGTATTAATGCTTTACCTCGACTGAATCATCTGTCTCAGGAGTGTCTGGGCTGTCATAGCTATTCAGCTGGGCCATTTCTGAAAAGAAAGAGGAAAGATTACTCCTAATGATCTCAATCAAACACTATTCTCTTTGTTTATACAAGACAAACAGGATTTTAAGAGGTGCTTCCAGATGATGAAGGACATTTTTCCCCCTCTGTAAAAAGTCACCCCAATTATACAGTGATAACCTTTAACATCTTGTAAGCTGTAGGCAGTATTTTATATAAAGCTGAATATAATTAATTGTTCTAATTTCAGCCTGACTTATTCTAGATGGTTTCTATAGTAAGTAAAAGCAATAAATGCACATTTGGGGAAACTACCATCTAATTAATATTAAAACCTATTCCATGCATATATGTCTGCATATAGCCTGGTGGCACCACTGTACTCCAGTAAACAAAAAGCATTACATTTCAACCAACCTCCCTCCACAAAATGTGTCTGATTCTGCAAAATGCTGAGCAGCAGCAAACTGGGAGAAAGTCGGTTAGTTTAGGCTACTCAGCTGTCTTAGGAGATGCTATAAACTTTGCAAACCCAAATCCTACCTTAACTACTAGTCTCTGAACAGACATCACTGACATTTCTGGGTGCCCTCCTTACAGAAAGGAAATAAGGCACCTTGACATCTCCACACATTTCTAAAGAAAATTTGACTTTAGTAAGGGGAATTAGTGATGGAAAGGTTCTCTCCCATGACAGGGATCAAAGGAAATTTCCCTTTAATGTCAGATTTCAACAAATGCTATTAAATTGCATTTAGCAATCTTTGGTAGAAATTTTCCCGAAGAGCTCTTCACTTGAAGTCAACCTGTCACTGTCATTCCAGTAAACACCGTAGAAGTTAAACTAGTCCTATCCAGACTACTAATTTATGCTAAAATTATGCTCTCCTGAGAAAGCAAAAAGTACGGTTCAATTGCTGAAATATTCTGCAGTAACCTCCAGTCTCTGTCACACTTTCTATTGTTGCTGAGCAAGCCGTGCATACTCGTAAAACGTGCCATAGGAGAAGAGATTCAGCTAGCAAAGTGCCAGGCAGAAATATTAACTCACAAATTCCAAAGTTAGGATCTTCTGGGCCTCTGTACTTTTACAGCATATTCATTTTACTATACGCAATTCTGGCACCTAGCAGAAAAGCTGTTGCTGTCTTCTAAAGCATTACCCTCTTCAGTTTCGCTGCTATGCAAGATGTAAAAATACAGTCTCATCCCCACCTAAAAATTCATACTACTCCTGGTTTCTCATGGAAAAATCACAACAAATACACGTTTCCCAGAGAGGACAACAAAGTGGGATGACAGGATACTTTCCAGCCAGGCCACCAGCAGGCAGGCAAATCAGAAAAATAATGGGTAAACTTACTTTTACTGTCCAACAGCACAGAGAAAACAGTTAAATCATAAAGCCATTTTCTAACATTGTTTCAGCTCTAATACAGGGAGACATTATTAACATCATAAGTAAAGAACTGTCACTGTTGATGTGCAATCCTTACCCCAGCAACATTCCTTTGAGATATGGGGCTGGAAAGGGCAGTCTAGAATTTGACAGCAAACAGGAAAATAAGGAAAAATGGCCTAGAAATTAAACCAATAAAATAAAAGCCTCCTTCAGCTACGTAGTGACCAGGAGATCTGGTTATCCTTTCAGCAGGATGGAGAGTACAAAACAAGAGTTCTTACCCTCCAGGGGATCCCTGGTGAGTCCCAGCTGGCTGATAATATAACGAGGAATGTCGCATTTAATTCCTTGCCCTTCCTTGGCATGGCCTTCTGCAGCTTCTAACAAATGGTAGAACTCTTCAGGATCAAACTCCTACAGCAAGGTGGTGAGAGAGACAGAGAGAGGTAAATGATTCAGCTTTACAAGTACAAAAGGTTTCTCTCCATATAGGATATTCCTCAGAAACATCCAAAGTTAATTCTGGGCTCAGCAGTGATGCATAACATTTGCCGTTACAACAAGCAAGTCAATGCATTCCACTTTGCTTTGCAAAAATGACAGACATTTACAGCCTGCTGGATGTCCAAGGGACTTTTTATGAACCAAAACCAGACTGTTGGATAATACGGTCATGGTAACACAAGAATTAGTCTAGACCCACCTCCCAGTTTTGTCACATTGAGATGTGCCAGGGAAAGGTCTGTGATGAGGACTGAGGTGCCACCTTCTGCCACCTCCGTCTGACAGGTGAGTTAAGCAATATAAACCTCATCTGCCTTCAAATGTCACTTCTGATCAAACCATACACCCACCTTATTCTATAACTGTCCTGACCTTAACAATTGCTAATAAATTATTAATAAAACAGCAATTGCAAAATATCAGCAGAGAAGATTTCACTTTCTATATAAGAAATACTGCTGCAGTATTTCTTGTACTATACGGTATAGGATCATCTTATCAATTCAGTCTTGGTGTATGTGATCTCTAAGGCAAGAAAAAGTTATAAGAAGGTGTGATCTCTTTTACTGGACTAACAGACACAGTTGGAAATAAAAGACAAGCTTTTGGCGGCAGGAGCACTCTGCTTAGAAGCAAGTTCACTAGTTAACTTTAACTCTCCCTACAAACCTCATCATTCACCAGCAATGAGCAGCTTTGCCAAGACTGTTCAAAAATTTTCTAGTGAAATGGGAAGATAAAAGGGGAAGAGTTACAGCATACAGCTGTAAGGGCATCAGAAAAGAACTGATGTGAGTGTGGTCAGCAGCATAAGAGAGAAGAGAGCACAGAACTGCAAACAAGAAAAAGAAATTAGAGATTGTGATGATGTAAAGATATTTGAATGGTTAGAGAAACTGAGAAAAGAAGCACTTTTTCTTGATTGCTCTAAGCAACGCTGCTTGGATACATGCAGTCACCAAAGACAGCAACAAAGTTCCTTCCTACTGCTCTGGAAATGGATTTATCAGCTGCCTCGGAACTGGCAGAGAGAAGGACCACAAGGAGAGAGATGGTCAACAGACTGCAGTATAATACAGAGAACAAGGTGAAAGCGAAGGTGGAGTCAAGGAAGGACTCTTCAGGATACAACTGGCGATCTTTTATTGGTGAGTAAAGGACAGGGAAAAAAAAGTCTGGTGACAAAAAATTCAAACATACAAAAAAATTAAGAAATTAAACAAATTCCAGTTCTGTCTTCTTTTTAGTAGATTTATTTAATCATTTGAATACAGAAGAATGATCCCTACTAAGGGGAGGCAGGTGCTATGGAAACATAATCTGAAAAACGAATAAATTACATACTTTTTCCCCAGAGATGGTTTCAGTGATGCACAAAACACATTATTATTTTCTTGAAGCCCCAGAGACTCAGTCCGTAAATAAACAATTCACAGTCTAACAGGTAATACAAAGACTGAAGCCAAATAACTTAAGTTTAAAATACTTAAAGGCCTTCACCCCCATTAAAACAATCACAACCATCACAACCATTGCCTATATGGTCAGTTATTTCATTTACAAGGAAGAAATAAGAATGAACTGTGTTACTAAAATTAACCTTAATATTAAATCTTAGAAAAACTGTTTATAAATTCACAAACAATTGAAGCTAAAGTTTAAATTACAAAAAAGTATGTTAATAAAAATGAAATGTAGTTCTCAAGCTATTTAAATGGTTGACTATCCATTACTATATTTCTTGTTCTTTTATGGGATAAAATGAACATTAATATTTAATTCTTCATGTCAGCAGAATAAAATATTTAGAAAAAATGCTAGAAAGGCAATACAGGTTAAAAAAACAGGGAAGACTTAATATAAAGATCCAAATATTATTTTTATACTTTGAAGTCTAGCCACTTGATTGTCAAGGTTGTCACTACATGCTTTGGAGTTCATTACTTAAATCTCAATGACTTTACTGCTTTCACCTGTTTCCACTCACTTTGCAGAACATCAGGTGCAGAAGATAGTGGAGGAACCTGGAGACCTACTGATTTGCAGCTAAAAGCTGGCTTGAGTTTGGAACAGCTTGAAGGTATAGAGATGGGTTCACAAGACTTACTGAGGTTTCATGTTTTCCTAGATGATGTGTTACTAGTAGAGCATATACAAGCATAAATGACGATAGTGAACGCAGCAAAGACAAACACAATAAGCTTAAATTTATTTCCTTTCTTCATTGCCTTCACTTCCAAAAAAAAAACTTTTTGAAGAAGTGCTGGAAGATAACTGGAGTCATAAAACTAATCTAAATCACAGAAATGGTTTTGAAAGCCAAAGAATTCCCAGTCTGAATAGAGTTGTGCCCAGGATTTTCATTGTAATCTAGTGGAGACTTCTTGCATAAGTAAGCATAGGCAACTATCTTGTTGGTTGTGCAGCCTACTTCATCACTGACAGCGGTCTTCCTTGCACTATAGTGTTCACAGCAAAGCAAGCCATCTGACGGTCATGGAGGAGGAATAAGGGAATCCTCCAAACTCTACTGGTTCTCAGTATTTCTGCAGGTGTTTTTAAAAACTGGTATCATTGGGAAGATTGGACCACTGTTGACTACTTTGTCAAAGAAAGCTCCACAAAACTCGTCTATCTTCTAGTGACTCCAGTGATAAAGGTCACCCATGGACACACTGCCCTCAACGTGCTTCAACTGTTAACTGTACATCTATATCCAGCCACAGATTCCTAATTTAGTCAACTTCTCTAACGTCCCAAACAGATGTAGCTTCCCTGTCATTTTTATGTCCAGAAAGAACCATCAGATTGTGTGCTTTGACACGCCAGGGAATTTCATTCTGTCATTTCCTAAGTTTCCACTGTAGGTTTGTGACACCTTTTCCAGCACTCCAACAATTTTTTGTGACTCTTCCCTACGCTCTCACTAATTTTTCAACATCCTTTTGAAATACGGTCACAGAACTGACTCCTATAACCAACAGCCACCACAACATTGTGTACACCAGAGATCTGATCACCTCTTTCCATGTATTTTCAAGGTTTATATTAACCCTCTTGCCATGGCATCACAGTGAGAATGCAAGTTCAGGCTGCTTCTCCACTTTACCTACAAAGTATTTTTGGAGTTGCAGGACTTCAGGACACAGTGGCCTATTTCATTGGAATGGCCTAAACACTTTTCACCATTTTGTAGAATTAAATAAAAACTACATTCTAATTAGCCAGAGTAAGTTGTTAAAAAAACAATGAGACTTGCTTTTCTGTGTATTCCAATAGCACCAAATAGGATTTCAAACCCAGGCTTACAAGTCTGCTTGGATGTCTCACTGGCCTATCCCTCTGTGTGTTCACAGCTGTAAAACCCGACACCAGATTTCTCTACAATTGCTGGGTCTGCAGTAAGAGTTTGAGTCCAAGAGCCCCAACACCAGTTATATCACGGAAGGGAATTTCCTCCTTAGTGACAGTTCTTTCTTAGCATGGCTCTCTGGGCACTGTATGCACACCATACATTTACAGGCTCTTTACTGTAGCTACTAACAACACAAGGAAAATCAGGTGGCGTCAAGAAGCATGAAATTATGTCAACAGCTACATCTGGCCCCTCAGCCATAAACTTTTTACTAAAATATAATTTAGCTGCTGTTGTAGCTGACAGTCCATTGGAAAGACACTTCTGTGTTAATGCAAAGACACTTAGTACTTCTTTTTTTTTAAATATTGATTTATTTTTCATCAATGTTTTAATGAAAATTTAAAGATTTCTCTTGAAGGCTTCGTGTTCCTTATCTCCTCAAACACACACCAGACTCTTTAGATCACACACGCACTCTCCCAAGGATCGAACTTACCAGGCACTCAAGCAGCCGAGCTGGTCGTGCAATGATAATCATCAGCTTCTTCACAAGTTGGGTAACGAAGGCAACCTCGGAGCTCTCGGATCGCTCGTGGGCCTGTGGAGAGCGGAACATCACCTTATGGTCCTAGCAGTGAACTCTTAATTTTTATATGTCAGATGCTGAACACAGAGTAACCACCAGTTCAGTAACCATAATTCGGCACCAAAGGCATGACTGAGTCAGGGCAGGCAATGATCTCAGCTCATTCAAGGATGCCAAGTTACATATAGCTTTTCCATTACAACTGACGCCTTTTATCATGCAAGAGATATTTCAAAGGCTCTATTTGCATTATATTACCTATCAATTATATTAGATACGATGTGTTTTTATTTTATTTTTAAAAAGGAAAAGAGGAATACTGATTTTTTCAATTTTACCTTCCACACGATACTGACGTCTAGATAATTACTAACAGCCACATATATTTCTAGGCTTTACTTCCAGCTAGAATTTGAACTACTTATGTTCATCATCAGGAAAACTAAACTTTAGTTTCTCTTTATTTAATTTTATAAATCCTGCTCAACAGCTACAGCATTGTATTGTGTGCTATGTAGGATCAAGCAGACAAGCAAAGCAAAGAGCATACAGAAACTTAATTCAGAGAATTTCTTCTTGTCCACTCCCTTTACCAGATTTCAGTATAAATTCAAGGCTTAGTTTCAAGGTGTGTGTGTGTGTGTGTGAGCGTGTCTTTCTGTAACAATAAACACACCAAAGCAATAATTTAAAAAACAAACAAACAAACAAAAACCCCCCAAACCCCCACAAAGACACATTTGAACAAACCCCCCAAACTACTCTTCTTTTGCTCAAGCACACAATGGTTACGTTAAGAGTCCTGAAGCAGAAACAAAATAGAATTTCATTGCAGGGTGATAAAAAGATGGTTCCAATGACATGTAAAAACTCTGAAACAAAGTATAGCTGTTTTTTCCCCAAGGTCTAAAAATTTGGCTTTAGCACAGCCACAAATATAAAGTCCAGAACTTAACCAATGAGCTTATGTTGGCAATAAGCCAGTTGCTTATAGGAATGATGCTTTATCAACAAGGATGCAAGCAGCAATAAACTAAAACGTTCATTTAGCATTGTTCTTTAGCACCATCTAAGAAAAAGACATATATGGGTGAGAAGTCAAATCACACTGGTGATCACCTAAAAGAACAATAAAAACACAAGGAAGCAGAAATTCAGAGCTAGAAACATACAGGCAGCATTTTAAATAAAATATTCCTGATATTTTGCTACCAAACAAAAAAAATTCTAAAAGTTCATTATTTCTCATTTTGACGTAAGTCGGAATAAGAAATGTTGATTGTCTACTTCAGCACTGATAAGCTAGGGCTAGAATTTTAACCTTGAAGAAAACAACGCACCTGCTAGTTCATTATCTAAAAACAATATCAGAGATGCTTCCTGGCTATAGAGCCTTAAAAAGAAGATTATTTTGAAAGCATTGGAATAAGTTGCCTTTTTTTTCCTAACTAAAAGGTATTTTCTAATTATAAAATAGAAAATAATCAAAATGAAGGTGATTAGTATTCACTCTGTGTCCCCTAATGCATTATGCAAACTTCTAAGTTAAAATATGAATTCTAGAAAGAAATTAATGCTTTCATATTTGAAAAGCCATTCCAGATCACCAGGGGTTAGCTGTGTTGAAATGAATAAATAAAACATCAACAACTTTGTATTATTTGAAATATGAGCTATGCAATTGGAAAGTCATTTCCCCCCCCATAAGTTATATTATGCAAAAAATATAATATAATATATAATTCATCATTTTGCATCCATTTATACTGTTAAAGCAAACTTATTCTTTTAAATCAATTCCTTTTGTTTTCTCCCTTTTCCCATCTATGACAATTCAGGCAAAATAATTTAAAACTGTAACTAATTTAATCAGGTGTCTGTTTTGAAAATGAGAAGCTAGACCATGACTGCCAAATGATACAGAAAAGCAAAAGAAAAAAAAAAGGATTACAAAAAATCAAACACAACTTGTAACAGCCACTCAGCCATCATCTCTGCACAGCGCTGCTCTTCCAAGATCCTCAGTAAAACTGTCTCTTCTTGTTTCCTGCTCGTGCAGGACAGCCTGGACATCCCTGCAGACGTTTTGTTTACAATCTGTCCCAAGGACAGCATCTGGAAACCAGAAGGTTATATAGCCAAGCACTGCCTGCCGCTTCCATGTGCCTTGGTACAAGGCGTGCCATTTAATTAGCAGTTCCCAATGACGACACACTTGTCTGAAGGTTGCTGGTGGCATTTCAGGGTTTCCCCCCCTCCACCTCCCAAGGGGAGGAGGGAGAAGCTACAGGGGTTGTGGGTAGAGGCTGACGCCATTCCTACACAGATTGCCAGTGACACGTGTACAGGAGGTAGCAATGGGTAATTTACAAACCGATTCCCTTATCTGAAAGACCCATCCGTCACTAACTGTAGCTACTGGCGCATGAAATTAAAATCACTGTCCTCCCCTGGGGTTCAGCAGGACCAATAACTGGGATATGCAAGTCACAACGCCGTAATTGAGCTAATATACTGATGGAAACCAAAACAATAGACCTGCAATGCCAAGGACCAATAAATTTATGCTCAGGCTCATATCAAGAAAGCAGTCCCAATCAGAATATCCATTTACCAATGTGCAGCATCAGTCACCGCAGTATAACACTAATACTCTCCCCTGTTTCTTTTGTTCCATGCACAGAAACACCTGTAATCCTTTACCTTCCTCACCAATTGGCTACACCTACGCAAAAGCCATTAAACTTTTTTTGGTTAGCTTTACTTCATCAATTCAGCCAAGCAGTAACTGACTAGAACCTTTTTTTTTCCCCAGTAACCTGAGGTCCTATCCCATCCTCTAAGCCCGTCCCATGGTAACAGATAAAGAACTGAACGTCATATATTCTTTCTTATAAGTGCTTTATATTATTTTTCAGTATTTTTACTTGTATGAAGTGTAACATTCAAGTTCACGTTTTCCAAAATAAAGAAAATATCTTAAATTCATTTTTACTTCAGGCTAATTTCAATGATGCAATAAGCAATAGGTTTTTCTGGCTGAAAGACAATATTTCACGCTCCAAACAAGGGAAAAGATCTCATTTGCCATAACTAACGAGATTTGTTGGCATTTTATTACAAAAGCCAGGATCTGAAAACTTTTAAAAGCTTTCTGGTTTGGTATGTTTAAACAGCTCATTATTTACATACCCAATTACTCTGTTTTACAGATACATATTTAGAATATAAAGTAGACATAAACTGCAACATATTAAAAAGAGTTTCCTTTCTATGGTTTGAAATACTGTGCAAGTTTAGTTTGTTACCACATGTCAGAATCAACACCTTAAAAAAGAATTTCAAGACAATCCATTCTTTCGCAGTAAAACTGTATGAAAACCCGTGAGTATTCCTGCAACCTGCTGACCTCCTTATTTACCAACATATCTTCTTCCCAATCTTTCTATGTTATAAAAATATACCATAAAACTATATATCCTACTGCACAGACCATACAACTGCCCAAGTGGAAGAGCTTTTGTGATGACCTTCCAGCTGGTATTATTTATATAGTACGTAACTCTGCGTGATACCTTACAAGCTAAGCAAAGGTAAAGACCCTGCCCTCAAATTTGGAATAATCTAAACTTGACTCCAAAGTTCTCGCATTTCAGGTGAGTCCTCCAAAAGAAACATTATCACCAATTTCTATATATTTAGACTGAAATGTCCCAATTATTTCCTTCTAGAATGCAGTCTGAAAGGCAAAGCACAGACTGACAAGCAAGGGGAAACAAGTACCTTTCAAATACTAAAATATAAAAGAAAAGCCAAGGAACTATGATAGAACAGAAGAAAAAAAAAAAAGACAAAGACGTAGAATCAAGTCTTTGGCATTCCTCTGCTGTCTTTAATTTCTTTGTCCTCTTCCTTCCCAGCCTGTTCTGCCTCCCTTGTCTCTCTAAGCTTTCTCTTTAGTTGTCTCTAGCCCACCTTACTTCCTAAAGTAAATCAATTAAACTTAAGAGCTGACCCTTCTCTCACCCCCGCTCTGCAGAAGATGTTAAGGAGGAAGAGGTCAAAGAAAGCCCTGAATGTCAATTCCTGAACAAGCGCAGAGATGACCACTGTATTTTCTCTAATAATTTAAATGTCACCTTTCCCTGTGCTTAGGAGCAGCAGTACAATGCATGTAGGATCAAGGGGAAAAGGATATTTAAGAAGAGTGGTTTGAGGATTTGTTCTGAGGGAGGGGAGAGGAAAGGAAAAAGCAGATTTATCTGACCCACGCCTTCTCCAAGATCCTGATTAACCTCTTCAGGCCAGAAGACAGGCCTGAAAGTGCAGGCTGGAAATGGCCAGACCCAATTTATTGCTCTCTTAATTCCTTATGGTATGAGAAATCACTGTCCACACACAGAGGAGGGAAGTCTGGGAGTGGGAGAATTTCAAGCTCCAAGTATCTGCTACCAGAAGCAGTAAAACACACTGTAGTCTCCTTGTGCCCCTTGAAATGTAAGCTATTTTGCCGAGCATACACGCCCACTTTTAGTGAAATCTTTTCAACTTCAAAACCATCACCCAGAGAGGCCTGATCCCTTATTTCATAGCTGATGTGTGCAAATACCCTCCTTCCAGACTCTGGAGATACAAGGTGGACCCACTGACGTGCTCACCTGGCTGCAGGAAATGCATCCATCACCCCTTTTCACTGCCAGCCCTGCCCTGCAGACGCAGGACTGCTTGCATGTCTCCGCCAGCCCGCAGCCAGCCGTCACTGGGCCCAGCACCAACGGCTGGGTGATGCTTATCCTGCCCAGGAAGGCTACGTGCAAGTAGCAAGTTTGCACTTGCAAGCTCCAGAAGCGTTTTCCTCTCTTTTAAAGACTACAGGTACTGAACAGTTTCTTTTGACTAGATGCAGTTTCTCCAGCCCTGGATGGTGGCATCAATGGTCAAACTCTTGCACGGCATCCAAAGAACGCCATTTTTACCAGGAAACACATTTTTTACTATTAAATGCATCCACAGTAGTGACTGATATCCCATAGGCAGACAACCATATGGGCCCTCGAAAGATATTCCCTACCTCCCTTGATCTGTCAAAATTATATTCCCCATCCAGGCAGAACACCACAAAACCAAACATGAACATTTTTCTCCCATGCATAACAAATACCGGGGAAATTACAGCCACGCTCATATAAATGGAGTAGCCCAAGATTCCATCTGATACAAGGGAAGATTCTGCAGCTTTCGCAAAGCTTTTTAATACAATAATTGTATATTAATATAACATTTTTATTCATCTGCCATTTCCTGATGTCTGGAAAGAGTGGCAAAGGACACAAACTGGTGCAATTCATGCCAGTGGGTTGGCACACTGATCATATAAACACATCTTCACCAAACAGATTAAAAATCATCACAGAAAATACATTATTTCAGGTGTTCTGTTTGTAGCTGTCTCCGTGATATTTGTTATCTGAGACTGCAATCTTTATAAATCCTGTGTTTTCAGCTTGCTATCTCCTTAAATCAAAGCAAAGGATTAGGAAGACATTCCCAAATGGAGGTCCGGACCCAGCAACTGGTAATAGCACTGACTCTCGCAACAGCTATAGCACAAATTCTAAGAGTTTTAGTTTATTTAATATTATTTTCATTTTAAAGGAAAAGAGCAATTTTTAATGAGTGGTTGAAGCATACTGAGCATGCATTAAAATTGTGCCCCCTTGTGTATTTTCATATGCTTTGAACACCACAAAACACATCGAAGTACTAAAAAACCCGCAACTGGATTAAGTTCAGCTCAAGAAAATCTTTTATGAAAAATTTATAGCAACACTACAAACTATGGTGTTTTCACTCCTCGAAGGCACTATTGTAATTAATAAGTCATTCACAGTCTTGAAGTACATGAAAGAAAAGTTCAGTAATTTCCTTCATCTTGATGAACCCGATTTTCATAAATGGTAAAGACTGCCTTTGACTTATTCATATGCATATTTAACTTCTGTACAAACGAAGTACACAGGTGAAGTGATTTGTTCAAACTCACCCGTGGCAGATCAACAGCAGACTGGAACAACTCAGATCTCCTGACACCCCCACCCACTGCCCTTCCCCTGGAATCCACATTGTCTCTCCTAAAATCAAAGCTCTGGCTTATTGTTTAAAGTTTCAATCAAAATAATATATTCTACTTTCCAGAGAGCACTTACGTCCTGGAGAAGTTTCTCCAAGTTTTCCTGCAGCTCATAAAAGTACCGAGAAGTAATAAGACCTTCACGTGATTTATCTAGGCAATCTCTGGCCAGTTCAATAACTTGATGATGAATGAAACTTAGGACCCCATCTGCTAATTGCAGCACATTCTCTGGAGCATTAGAGGCAATAAACTCAGCCAGCCGTTCTTCCATCTGCGCCGTGGCCTAAAAGTACAGAATAAACAGAAATATTCTTAAATTTTACTATCCCAAAACTTAAACATAAACAAGTAGGGTGCTAAAGTAACATATTCTTAATTCCAAAATGCACAAGGCTTAAAAAATATTCCAAAACGCAATAGCATTTTGCTGAGAATAAAAATAGCATACTATAGGCAAAAGTTATGTTTACATGAGCAAACAACAAAAATTAATTGGAACACACTTTCTGAAAATGCAAATGACCATAAAAATACTCTTGTCCTGAGGCTGTATTCCTCCCTGGGTCTCCAGAGTAAAGACGTAAGATACGAGGCAGTTTTCAGAACTTTTAGGCAAGACCATGGAACCTGAAAATCATTGCCCCAAGCAATAGACACATGGCATTTCTATCACTATAAGCACTGATGGCCTGTCTCCACAGAAACACCTATTTTTGCTATTGGTAGAACAGGAGGGAATGGCCATATCAACAGTTCTGGGATACACGATCTTCTACACTCGTTTCAGTGAGATACTAACTTCCAAAGCTTGATTCTGCAGATTTCAATATTCAGCTTTTTTTAAAAAAACCCACACTTATTTTCACTGCAGATCACTTCAGCACATTTCAGTGTGACTGAATTCAGATTGACTTTTCTGAAAATCCCAGTCTGTCTTCATTGTTTCTCTGGTACCCAGTGGCAAACTTGGTTTTTGCCAAAACCTCCAGTATGATTTGGAATGACTTTAAAAGAAAACTTTGCATTTTCAATATGTAAATGGAAAGCCTACCAAACCCAAAGAAGTTTGGATCAGTACAAAGCAAATTTAATGCAGTTATACAAGGGAATAATGAGAGAATGTTATTCAACATATTTTGAAATTACTGTAAAATAGGTTTTTTAAGTATATATGAAACTAAGCAAAACATCCCTCTTCCAGCCTTAATCTGATTCAGAATTTAAAGAAAAAGACAAGGATTAGTTAAAAATATACAGAGACACTGGCCTCATAAACAACATAAATGGACTGAGCAGCCAGAGCATGGCCCTTCTCCTCATTCCTGTGAGCATTTGTCAAGCCAATAAAAGACATGAGAAATTCAGTAAATATGATGTACATATAGAAACACCCAAAGCTTTTCTATTTCTTCTACTGCAGAATTAGCATGTGAAGCAGAGAAGGCAGCTTCAAACTCTTAGCAAACTGCACTGCTTGGAAATCAGAGGTAAAAGCTGGGCTCCTTCTCCAATGAGCACAACAAATTAATTCTGAGCTTGGTCACAAGTTCATTGAATGCATTATTCAAAAAAGTGATTCCTTACCTTTGGAAACCTTTCTTTGTACACATGATTCATCATTATTATCTCACTGTCAAAGGAAATTGGGGAGCGACCCGGGCTAGAGGAAAAAAAGAAAGTACATTATAATTTACAGATATCACATCAAAACCCTTCAAAACCCAGTGTTGGTCATAATGCTGCCACACTGACTGTAGCCCTTCCAAAGCTTTGACTTCACTTCAGTAATGGGCAGATGCTTAACTTCAGAGAAAATCCTGGCAAGCAATGGCAATCTACAGCCCTCACAGTTAACTCATTTGAAAACTGCTAACACTCCTGTCTTCACATGAACTCAGGCAGAAACTCACCTATTTTCAGTGAATGCAAGCCCTAATATACAAGCATGTAAAAAATCAGTGCATTTGCTGCAGGTACATCTGTTATTTCCCTCGTTCTCTTACTGCCCTCCAAGGCAGTGGTAGCAGCCCTGCCCAGGAAGAAATCACTGTTATCTCTGGAATCTCTAGTGCCAGAAAGAGGCAGAGTAAAAGGAAACAAGGAACTTGAGATGAGTTGCTTTCCTTTGTCTGAAGAATACCACGCTGCAGGAAGGATGCAGGAGCAGTGTTATTCAGCTAAATCTTACATATAAATACCACAAGCAATAGGAACAGAATACTTTTCTGAAAACTGCACTCCCTTGAGGCATATTACACTGCGGATGCATATGCATGTATGCATAGGTTAGCAAGCAACTTCAAGGCACACCAAAAAACAGGACACTAAATTTTGACAAACTGCATTTATATTACTGTTTGGGGTTTTTTTTTTAAAGAAGAGTTGCATTTCATTTCATCACATCTGATGGTATGCAATGCTCTGACTCATTCTGCCACTGAGGACAGCCAGAGTGAGGTAATGCAGATAATCCCTAGCTACAGGATCGCCTACAGCATCGCATTTCTCTCTCTACCTTGTTCTAATGTTCAAGACAAGCAAGGGCTTCAATTATCTGGCATCTTACATGATCATTGTCTTTATGATTTTAAGAGTACTAGATATTGCTAAAAATATTTTTCAGAAAATACAATTTTATCTTGAATGAGTTCAAACATTTTAAACTTTCTTGCGAAGGATGAAATGAATCTCTAAATGGAATAAATGCATTTTAAACTTGGAATGCATTACAGTTACTACCTTGCTGCTAACCTATTTAAAGGAAAACACATTCTTTTGGGAACATATATTTACAATTCAAAGAAAATTTAACTCACTGGCTCACAGAATATAGCAATACCAATCTCTTTTCATGCCTGACGCTGGAATTCCATGAATTACATTGTGTCTTGTTTTTATTAAGGTTTATCCCTCAGCTTGGGAAAATGCACTTCAGATTAAAACTCTCACTGAATCCTTATGTTAAAGGAGAAAAACCGATTTGGATGTTTTGGATACCAAGTAAAAACACATTTTCATCAACTTTTTTTTGAAGAAAATATATCCCTTAGCTTGGTAGATAGCTATTTTTAATCAAGGAAAATTGTCTTTAAAAAGAAACTTACATTTATATTCATATGTAATGTATGACATAATAAAAAGAAGGGTAAGAACATTTAAATTCCAGACTTAGAAGCAAATTCCCCCACACATCCAGCCTGCTATCTTTATCCTTTTTTCTCTAAGACCAAACAATCTGACACAAACACATGACACTTGTTTACTGGCAGTTCATATGGAGCTGAAGAACTTGGTGAAAACATAGGTACTGAAGAATTTATTTTTCTATAATGTATTATTTCTCTGTGTGATTTAAGTGAGGTATAATGACAAGGATATATAAGCCCTTTGGTACTAACTACAGAAACACGGAGGCACATACATACTTCATTTTAACACTAAAGTAGTCCTACTAAAATTTGTGCATGCTTAAGTATTTGCTGTCCTAGGGCTACAATAAAACATGAGGGTTTTTGCCTTTTGCTTTCAAGGCACTTTATTCATATGGATACAGGAAATTAAGATCTATGCAAAAATCATGCTACGTGAGCTGTCCTGCCAGCAGATGTAGTGTTTCCTTAAGAAAAGCCACAATGACATGGGAATTTATTGCGTTTGCTTTTGTTTTTTACGATTCTGAAACAAAGTAATTTCTTTGCACAAAAGTCTACTGATTGGCAAGAAAGTAAACACTTATAATCCCTTAGCTTCCTTGGGCATTGGCAGTTCTGTCTCTCATCTTTGGAAGCTGATTAATGCCACTTCTTACCACCTAAAATGACAGAGCACCCAAAAAATTCCAGATAAAACCTTGGATCAAGATTCAAATTGTCATTCTAAATAAAATTTGCCCAATATAACAGGTCAAATTAAATGTCTAGCTGACTACAGCAAGACTGCAACATAATATACTGCACCATAATTTTTTATGTTGATCCTTAGCCTGGGAAACTACAGAAATAGATGGATAACTAACTAACCAAAGGCTAGCTGCCAGGCACTGCTAGTTACTTTACAGCACCTTTGAGACACAACCAGGTGAAAAAGAAACCAGGACTGGGCAGATAACTGAATGCCACCAAGGGAGAACATAAGGAAATCTAGAAAAAAAGGAGTTTAATACATTTTATTGGCATGACAGCTTTTCAACACATCTATCTAGTACCAAAAATTTCACATACAGAACTAAATCAGTCTAACATTTCAAGACTCACAAAGGAACAGATTATTTTCTGTAAAACGGAGGACACATACCATGCACGTGCATAACATTTTAAGACAAAAAGCAGGCTGCTTCTCTTTTCTTGGTTTAGATAGGCAGGGCAAAGAAATTATTACTGTCAGTGAGTTTTTCATTTCAGCAGAGCAGACATTAGAAGAATAATATCTGTCCCCTTAAGCTTAACAGCAGAATGAAAAACTACTCTCCCTTTTCCCCTTCTTCACCCTCCCTCCACTTTATGAAATGATGTGGTGGTAGACATTCAGTGACATCTATCTCCTGCAAAGGTTTCTAGCCTTCATCTTGTCAAAACTCATGTGTCTTTATTTGATGCTAGAAAGTGAAAATAGCTTATAGACAGCTATTTCAAGGAGTAGCATTTATAGTAATAACTTAAACCTTACAAAATCTAGTTTAACTGTGACTAAATAAAACTGAGATGTTTATGAATACCTAATTTTTCCTTCACTGTGACAGCTGTATTTATTAAGAAAAAGCAGAGAACCTAAAAGCACTGTATTCCCCTCTGCTTTTAGCCTGTACATAAAGGTTTAATTAGGATGTATTTACAGCACATTACCAAAGTCAGTGTCCATAGGAAAATTAAAACCATAGGCCTTAATTTTCTGTCATTTCAACATGTTAGATCCTGCCATTAAGCATATACAAAGACAACTCGTAGGAAATGCCAGTTGCCAAAATAAGGAAATTTAAAACTAGAGGGCTAAAGTTGTATGAAGTAGAAACTAAGTTAAACCTTCTGCTGAAATTGAGGAGAGCACTGGCCTTCCTCTTCCTCCAAGAAATAAAGATATAAATCTTTTTTCTCATACAAATTACATTAACACTAGAAGTGAGTCAGAAAATTTCCCCTGAAAAAAGAGACAATAAAGCAGAACCAAATATGGACAATCTACATCTGTCTATCAAATTTCAGAGCAAATATGACTAAATGCTTCACGCAGCCCACAACAGTTAGACCTTGGGGCCTAATCCTGTTTCTGGACAGGACAATGACCAAAGGAGAACTGATCTCAGTAGAGCAGAACCTATCTGCTAAAGTCTGAATTTATGCAACATGCACAATAATAGTGAAATACAGTTTCCCACAGAATTACAATAATCTATACCATGGAGGAAATAATGTAGAAAATTAAACGCGTAACTTTAGATTGCTTTTCAGCATTCATTCAAGGATCCTTCTTCCTGCATAATCATAACCAAACAGCACAGAAAGTCCACACTGGGCAGTTATTCTAGTGCTGCTAGAAAAAAAGGGAATCCAAGGCAAAGCAGGATATACAGTAATTCTTCTTCTTCTTCTTCTTACAAACGGGCAAGCAGTGAAACAGAACAGTAAAGAGTCTTTCTCACTGAGCACTCTGAAAAGTCATTTCTGAGTTTGTTGCTTCAGTGACGTTTAATCTGTGGACAAATACTATTTGTGATTGGTTTTGTATCGCTGAACTGTTTTCCAGTTCAGCCCTTCTTTATACTAGGAGTGACATTCTTATGAATGTAAGGGGGTTTTTTAAACATTTATAAATAGAAATAATAAATTAATAAATAATAAAAAATATATGTATATATATGAGAGAGCATTAAGGGAAAGGGAATACATTTCAATCACAATCTCTTTGAAAGTAAGGACTAATGAGTCCTTTCTACAGACTTACACAGGGGGTGCAACTACCTCTTTCCAATACCTCAGGATTTTTTATGCATGCCAATGAAGACTGAAACTGCTTTAGACAGAAAACACTAGAAAGTTAAAGTAATGAGCAGTACACAGGGCAAATAAGAATACCCAGTTTTCCTCATAATAGAAAACCACAAAGATGGTGAGTGAAACCAAAAGTTAATAAATGTAAAACCAATCACTTTGAAGAACATTTTAAAATCAGGTTCACAGAACTCACTGTCTTGACAGAGAAAACAGAGACCAACATTATCTGTAATGTAGTTAGAATGTATTTTCATAGGAAATAGATGCCTTACGCTTCAGAATATAAAACTATTATGCTTCTCTGGCAAATTCCTGGCTGCATGAATCCCCACTCTGCAGGGAGCACCACCTGTTCCTCCACAGCTTGCAGCGGACGGCACTTTCTGAAAGCAGCAGCATGAAGCGATGAAACCACCAAGATTACTCAAGTGGTTAAAGCTGACACTTAAGTGCAGTGAGATGAGAAAGCTCCACAACCTGCAGGATCAATCTTTAAAATAAAAATGGACTATGTGGGCCACTGGTGTGGTTTCACAACACCTATTCCTTCTTCCCATCTTGGGTATTTTATTTCAGAAGTCTTTTTTGACAACTGGCATTTTCTAGGAGTTGTCTCTGTATATTCTTAATAGCAGGATCTAGCATGTCAAAAGTCAGGTTGGAGGATTGCATTTGAAATGCACTACACAGCAAAGAGATGAAGGAGCATGTTTGATTAAGGATGATCTCATCTACTTCAACTATATAAAAATTCACTGCTACAATCTTTAACGCTTTTTCCCTAGACAACATTATCCTGAAATACAAAAAGAGATCAAGAAAAATGGGCAGATTGGTGGGCTGAGTGACTGCACAAAGGCAGCTCCTGAAGAAGTCATTATTAGTTAACTCTGCTTTTATCTCTGACTTCGCCACACATTTCCACATGTTAGCAAATGCTAAAGAAAGACAAGGAAAGAGAACAGGGGAAAGATGGAGGGCAGCATCTCTCTAACTTAGAGAGAGTAATGATGCCAAGTTTAGTGCAAGAATTCACACTCTCCATGCATTTTACTCCCAGGAGAAAAGATCTTCTTCAGATAAAGCCCAGGATTGTTCTAAACAAAGTGAATGTAGGCCGGACATCTCTCTGTTGGCCAATTACTTGAAGGATTTGAAGGTTGCATTACAAAAAAAGGAGACCAGTTGAAAGATGGTATTTAGGAACTACTTTGGCAAGTAAGAAAGAAATACTCTCTTCTACTGAAGACACACTGTAAGCACCAAAACAGGTGGGTCACATAGAAATATGTTCTTTCATTTAGCATGTGAGTACTGGATCTATTGGAGATGGATGAGAAAACAGTCTTCCTGGCTTTAGCAACCAGCTTCAAAAGCATGTCACACTTTTGGTTTCCAGCGTTGGTCTCAGGCTACCTCCTTCCACCTGCACAGGAAAGCAGCTGGGAAAGAACCAGTGCCATTTCTTTGGTGTAGAAATTTGGGGGATTTCAAATAAGGCATGATTAGTTAGGCAATGAGTATCTTCAAGCCACCCTGGCAGAATACCTCAAGCAATGGAGGCGGTACCAACTTGTCAGCGTACATCAGCCAACACTACCCTCCACGACTGTACGCTTTGTTACTTTTTTCATCCAGTTTGATCATTAAGACTGCTCTGTATGAACAGAACATTTGCAGCTAAGTACAAGAAAATGGTAATTTCTAGTCAAAGAAGTAGATTTTTCCAAAAGTTACATCTAGGCAATACTCTGTATCTAGGAGCATAAAAGGATCAGCTGATACTTCTAAAAAATCTTGGGTTAGAGACCCTCAAAACCAACAGTCCCAGCATTTGACAGTGACATCTCAAAATACCAGTTCCTCTCTCATAAAAAGAGATGTGAGGCTGCAGTCACAAAGGATGAAAAATGAATACATGTTAAGAATCAGTCATAAATAACAGACCATCTTCTAAATTACAAAGCTGTGACCGCCAATTAAGGAAAACGTCTGATGTATTTTGTTCATCTGCTTTTCATTAGAGCTGATCAAACAACACCATTAAATGCTTATGAAAATATTATATTTTTAGGAAATTCCTGCTTCATTTTCAACACGTTAACTGCTCAGATTTTATTTTTTCATTTCTTAAGTAAGTAAAAATATCCTCCCACCAAGTAAGCTAACTCTGTCATGTGAGCAAATAAATAAGCAAGATGTGCAGTGAATAAGGTCTGGTCTTCACATATTTCAGTACTTGTTTGTTTACAAGGACATGCTACCCTCTGTCAAAGTGGGTATTTACTCTTGCAAACATTGCTCCAATTGGTTGGATTGACATATCAATTTTCCTTTGAGATGCAAGGGCCAGCATGAATGCTTGGTAGTGGCAAGGGTGCTGTAGAGTCACACACCATCACAGTACTAGCAATAAGTAAAATGAAAAACAAATCAGGCACAGTAAGTTTAAAAAATTAAATTACTTCATTCTAAGCTTTGGAATACCAATAAGGCTGGCCATTATCACACTGAAAACCAGAGACAGCTAGAGAAAGCATTCAAGAGGGGAAGAAGATTAATCACATAGTTATATGACACACTGAATTAATCTAGTCTCGTCACAGAGTATAAACCTACTATATGATAACTCTGCTTTTAAATTGGCTCACAGAGGTAAAATTCTCAGCAAGTTGATAATCCGTATTAACAAGGAAAAAAATATAATTAGGCTCTTCATTTTATTGTTCATATCATTCTTGCATTAGCAAGAGTGTCTTATACTTCATTATGCCAACAGTAATATGTCTGTGTTAGAAAGGACAATAATTATTTTAGTGATGTGTTGTCTACCTACAGTAGTTGTCTTATCTATAAAGAATTAGTACTACTACAGACACACTACTCAGCGATCGTCAGCATTAAGAGTGACAGCAAGAGGACTGAAGGAGGACTATGGTTCAAAGAGACTTAGTACAAATCATAAAACTAGCCTTTTACTACATGGCAATTTGTGGAGATCATGGGCTAAGCGTGTTACTACCCACGGTACTTACCTGCTCCTGTAGATTACTGTGTAACTACACTTAGTAGATCCATATGCAATTACCATGCAGCCTGCACTGAAGTTTAGAACATACAAATAATTACAAATAATCATGAAAGGTCAGCTCTCCCATGACACGATACTCACCATAGATTTTTTTTGTTATCTTGGCCTGTTTCACTTCTCCTATTACAAACCTCAGCCTAGATCCTGAGCTGGGCACACTGATTCAGTATTTCCAGCTGGCAGAACTTCTGAATCTTGTCCATTAAATTTAAAGGCAATATCCACCTCTGACACCCTCAGATGAGAAGCAGAAAGGAGACTTCACCTCCCTGTCCCCTGCTTGTATAAATACTTTTTCTTTCATAAGATGCTGCATCTAGACGTACGCATCTCTAGACTTTCATTCACTTGGTCCAGCACTAAAATGCATAGCAAAACTTAAGGCTTTTGCCATGATACAAAATGTTTGTGGATTTATTCCACATAACTGTTAGAGACCTGCAAGAAAAATTGCGCAGAGAGTTGTGGAATCTCCGTCCTTGGACATACTCAAAAGCTGTCTCGACATGGTCCTAGGCAATCTGCTCAAGCAAGGGTTTGGACAAGATGACCTCCAGAGGTCCTTTCCAACCTCAGTCATTTTGTAGTTCTGTGAAAGATGAGATTCTAGTTGCTTCTGTTTTTAAGTATGGAAAAATCAACTGCACAAGGAAATAACCCCTGGATAGCTATCTTTGAACAACCCATTCTCTGAAGCAACAGTAAAAATTATTTAACTGCTAATGCAGGAGAAATATTTTCAGCACTATTACAAAATTGCTCTTGGGTGCAATTCTATTTAAGGTTTTGACATCATCTACTCTAGTGTCCCAGTTTTGGCTGGGATAGAGTTCATTTTCTTCCTAGTAGCTGGTATAGTGCTATGTTTGGGATTCAGTATGAGAAGAATGTTGATAACACACTGATGTTTTCAGTTGTTGTTAAGTCATTTTTATACTAAGTCAAGGATTTTTCAGCTTCTCATGCTCAGCCAGCAAGAAGGCTGGAGGGGCACAAGAAGTTGGGAGGGGACACAGCCAGGGCAGCTGACCCAAACTGGCCAAAGGGGTATTCCAGAAATACCATGTGACATCATGCCCAGTATACAAACTGTGGGAGTGGGGCTGGGGGGTGGATCGCTGCTTGGGAACTAACTGGGTGTCAGTCGGCGGGTGGTGAGCAATTGCACTGTGCATCACTTTGTATATTCCTATCCTTTTATTATTATATTTGTCATTCTATTATTGTTATTCTTATCATTATCAGTTTCTTCCTTTCTGTTCTATTAAACTGTTCTTATCTCAACCTACAAGTTTTACTTTTTTTCCTGATTCTCTCCCCCATCCCACTGGATGGGACGGGGAATAAGTGAGCTGATGCATGATGCTTAGTTGCTGGCTGGAGTTAAACCACAGCATCTAGTTTTCATACCCCTTTGGAAGCACTGCTGGAAAAGTTATTAACAGTGACTGCAACCACTTCTTTATATAAAGGCAGAAAAATTCAGAGAAGAAACTTCACTAAAAGGAAATCTACTTTTTACAGATTTAGTACAAGACGCTTGTGCATCAGGTTTTGTGAAGATACAAAAGCAGACTGTGATAACCATTTTGCAACCCAAAACCTCAGCATCAAAAAAAAAAAAAAAAAAAAATCCTTTCTGATTAGGTGAGGTAGGTTAAATGTTGATTAAAATAATTTCAAAAACGTGTAACAAAACAACCACAAATGACTATTCTTAGATCGGAAAGCACAAATAGAAATGCAATACATTTGTCCAACATCTTGAAAATTCAACAAACAACCCAAAGCTCACCTGAGACTGCGAGACCGAGGCCTCAAGGCTGGAGAATGGCGCCCTTCCTCATCAGTGATGCTCTCAGTACTGAAATGCTTTGTCAGGAAATGAAGTTCATCTGCCGTGGGCTGAAAGGGCAGCTGGTGCAGCTTCTCCTGAGATGAGCATGATGACTGAGTACAGAAAAAAATACAGAAAAGAAATGCACTAAACGCATGCATAGGGGTCAGCTAATGAATGGAAGAGGAACGGATTCTGCCAGACACTGCACACTCCAGCGGAAAAGAAAGCTACTTATCAGACCAGGTGCCTCTCTTTGTTGTTCTCATTAGGCTAAGCCAACTCTTAGGTACAACAACAGAGCTGGTGAGATCAAGACGACTTTGGGAGAAGGCCAGGGAACCACTGCATCTGATTCTGGAACCATTAGATCTTATCATGCAGGTAATTTACTATCAGGAGGCAGAAAGGAAGGTATGTGAGTACCAGTGCTACTCTCGAAAGGACAAGGAGGTTCCTGGAGTGGTGAGCAACTTTCTTTCCTTTTCCCTCATGCTCTCTTAGCTCGAGTTTCACTGGCATGCAGAATGCTATGGAGCTGTGTAGACGTGAGAGTTTTTGCTGATCATTGGCTCTCATTGGAAATTGCTATTGTAAATGGTCAGGATTTTATTTCTCCCTTCCTTTACCCATCAGGCTTCTTCTCTAACTAAGTAGGCAATAATAAAATGAAAGTAGCTGACTTTGCAGAGTTGTAAGATTAATAGTTTCTTGTTATGAACAGCTTATTCATCTTTAAAGTAGTTGATGCATTTATATGACACGTCTTGTGATAATGATAGACATGAAACTGTTTTAATCCTTGAACTTCAAGAAACCTGAGATTAAAACAAATATTTGTGGGAAGTGTTAATAACATCAAATGTTGGATGTTCCAGGGGAAAAAGCTGTAGGTCAACTAACAAATGCATTTCTTCTTGCGTGATTTTTCAATGCCCCTTTCCATTTTACAAAAGTAAGAAAATATATTATGTAAGGGCAAATTAAAAATCCTCTTTAAAAACAAAGCAGAGGGGGGTGGTGGGGTGTGGGAAAGAAGTGCTGAATAACCAGAGTAGCACCAGTGGGCCTTATTAAAAACATTATCCTAATCTAAGTTCCAATGCTCCTTATTGATCTGATGAAATTAATTATGTACACCGTTCCAGTGGGAAAACTTCTCCTTTTGCTACAATAACCCTCACTCACACTGGAAAGCAGGGCATCCTAGTACCAGGGGTATTGGTAGGAGAGAATTATACATGATATAACACGTATGACCAAAGCTTTAACTCACCTAGCATGCTTTTCTAGATTTATTTGCTGTTGATGGTTTTTGGAAAAGAAAGCTAAGAAGTATGGCCAAGCAATGAAAGCCAGATGCTGACAAGGCTTTTCACCAAGTCCTGCATGTTTGTAATGTTGACAGCAAAGAGAAAATATTCTGAAATCACATAAAACAGGTACATCCAAATTTGTCAAGAAGGTAACAGCTACACTTGAACTGATTTAAAACTAAGCAGATTGTTGCAGATCCTAGCATAGTCTTATCTAGAGAATTCTAGCCAAAACTGAGATGGAGATCTGCACGTCAGAACTTATAAACCTAAAGATCATATTCTTTGATAAAAATATAATTAGCTCCAGACCCCAGATCCATTCCCTCTGCACTGCACAGAAGTATTTACAGAAAAGAACCCCCTTGAAAGCCTTGGGACATGCACAAACTCCCCAGGTGTGGCTGGAACTGGAAGCCACCACTTCCAATGTTTTCCTTCAGGCAGGTCTAGGTGCAGGGATCATGTCGGGAAGTCTTATCCAGCAGTGTCCACACAGTGATGATCATCCAGATGATGTATCAGCTTACACTGGTCTAATCCACACTGAAGCCAAGATGGAGAGCCTGGGTATTTGATAGCCCCTTTGCCCACAGCTATTCTGCTGTGCACACTGCTTATCCCAAGTACAGGAAGTCCTTGTAGTACAGAATTACGCAAGTCCTGTTTGACTTTCAGAGCTTTCTTTGATGTCTTTGTGTCTTACAGAATACAAAGAGCAGGGAGAAGTACCTGCCTATGAAAAAACAGCAACACTTTCAAAGAAAAGGTACGCCTCAGTTGACATCCCGTTCATGATGAATAACGCAGGTCCTGCAATAGAGCAGGAAGTACTGAAGACACTATCTTACAAACCTGCATTAGCAGGTACTCAAGTTCTGGCATTACAAATACATGTCTTATTCAAAACAAAATTAAACTAAAACTACCACATTAAGGACGGTTAGCTAGTCACTAGAGTTAGAAAAAAAATCAAAACTGATAGTCTAGAAAAAGCATTACAAATTTTATGTCTCCTAACAGCAAAATCACCGGGAAGCAGTGCTAGTCAGCTCATGGATGACCGAACAAAATCCTCCCTCCACTTTCTCTCCTTAAAAGCAATCAGATCACAGAGTTTGTAATTCCAGAGAATAATTAAAGCAAGTCCTGAAGAAAAAGGCCATGATGAGAAATGGACTTTCCTCTGCCAAGGGCTTCTCTAGCAGTCTTAAGGTGTACAACCTTTCAATGAAAAAGCGTGAAAGCAAAGTGAAATACTTCTGAAGCATTGATTTTTAAGTAATCACATCACTGTATTCAATATCTGCAGCAGACTAATACAAACATCCCTCTGGTGTCTTAATTACAGATGCAGAATTCACCAACTCTTCTCCAGTAAAAAAAATCAAGCTAACACTACAGTAGCTTATATATTAACTCTGCATCTAGAAAATGAATAGCACACTAGATGTTTAAAAATAATTGTATATTGGCCCATTCAACTGACTGTTCTATATTCATCTAATTTGAAAGAAGGTCTTTAGCTTTTTTAGTGTTGGGCTGATGATGTATATCTGGTCTTCATGATTCATATGAAAAGGGTAAATGTGTATTTTTTTAAAAGTGCTATCCCTCATTTGGAAGCAAAAAATAAAGCAGAATCTACAGGTTTCCACTGACCTTAGACTAGACAAATGTCTTGGTTTGTTCAGTTGGTTGATTGGTAGAGCAGCTGATCTATGACCACATTGATGGAGGTCAGCTCTAACTGCCATACAGAACTCAGGCCAGCAGAACACAGAACTGACACTCTTCTTGATATTTCATTTCCTACTGATATGTACACCAGAAAGAAGGTCTACCGGCTTCCCTCTATCTTGCTTGAAAAAGAAATGTAATCCTGAAGACTGATCACTTGAAATGGAAGCCAAAAATTCTGTTATATTCGCATCTGTAGCATTAATTCATTGTGCCCTTTTGACAAGCCCCTTGACTACTTCCTACTTCAGTTTTAAAGTCTATGCAGGAATAATACTGCTTTTATCAACTTCAGAGGTGTTATTCAGATCAACTCAAATTAATTCTAATCTATGAAATACTATGATAATAGTATTGTCACAGACAAGTAGTAAGTAGGATTGGCTTAGAAATGTAATACTAAGTTTAATAGCTCCAAGAATTGCATCACTACTTACTTAACAGCCCATTTCAATGTCTTTCTGAGATTGTAACACTGAACCAGCAAAAGAAAAAGACATGAGAGACTCAGCCATTTAGAAGAAAAAAGTCTTGGAATTACAGGTTTTAATCTAACTATTTCCTGCAGGAAGGTGAATTCAGATCTGTATATGACCATCACTTCATGCTTCTCATTATACCAACCTGTTTTCTGTTGCTTACAATACTTACACCATTTGAACTGATGCTTTCTATGTGACATGTCTATCTCAGATCTGTTGGGTTGGGGTTTTTTGGTTTTTTTTCTGGAAAAATGTCAATCAAAATGATCTAGCTATTTCTGGCAACATGTCAAAAGACAAATGTGTTTTCTTTCCCATGTCAGGAAGCTGAGAACTTTCTAAAAGTAGCTTTAATGTCCCTATTTCAAAGCAAGGACTCATACTTCCAACGGATATTTTTTGTTGTTGTTAGTTTTTCTCTCTCCATGGACTTCTACCCAAAGGCTGGTCAAACTATAAACTCTTGAAAAACTACTGATCACACCTGCAGGTAAGAAGGACTTACACACTGCAGGCAGTTTGGTCTCCAAATTGTCATCTTCACAGGCATCTTGGAAACTCTCACAGTGACTACCAATGATCAAACTATTTGGATGTCATCCATACAAAAAGTAACTGTACTTGCTCCATGCTCTCATAGCTGGTACTCAGAAAAGGACTTAGCCATGGCTTATACCCATAAAGATTTAACCTAAGACTATAAAGGCAAAAGCAGAGCTCCATTTTAACAGCTGGTCTCATGTGCTTGAATATATAATACTGCTTCGCAGCAAAACCAGGGGCATCTTATTCATGTTGATAATGAAATCTTCTCCCACATTTTTCTGTGCTCCTGCCCATATATTCATACACACATGCGCGCACGCACACAGAGACTTCTCCCACAGGAGACTGAAATCAAGTCACCTGCCTTCGAAGGAGACAAAAAAAAAATCCCAAAATGAACAAAACCCACTCACTTCCTAAGGAACTGTGATGATAAATTTGTGCTTGAGAAGCACTAGAAATTTATGGATGAACTTAACAGAACAGCTCACAAGGAAAACAATGATACTGCATTCAGTGTAAGATTTGCATAACATGGAATATTGAGTCCTAATTAATGCAGGTATTACAATTATTCGGAACATACTCTGTAAACAAAACCCAAAATGATCAGTAGAAGTATTACGAAAAGAGGCAGTGATATATGACCACACAGTTGAAGACACTCACCATAACACACATACAAAAGCATGTTACATTAAGTCTGTACAGGTAGCCTTAACATTTCTAATTTTTCTATGCTTGGCTTTGCAAGGTTGTTACGTGGATAACCACAACATCTAGTTCACATAAACTAAAGAATAAGATTCATTGTATGATGTATCTGAGAGTTATAAGGGTTAACACAGTGCTGCTACCTTACTGGTATTAATGACATACTAGCCTTTTGAAAGTACAGAACTCAAGCAAACTGCAGCCAGCCTTTCTAATGACATGCGTAAGAACTGAACAGCTTTATTAGGAGGTTCAAATTATTGGAGTTGAGTAACAGATGTGGATTATCAGTTTTTCTTTCTGCTAGCCTGATAGCAGAGGTTTTCATACTAAGAACTTGACAGCAGACAAGAATTTCATTTCCCAGTTACAAAAAGGTGAGAGCTGGCTAGTAGTTATGCACTATCGCTTAGAGTCCTGCCACTTCTGAGACATTCTGCCTCTCAACTGATTGGTCGAGCCAAGTGCTGCACTGGGATTTCACCAATGCTAAAGGCAAAGTGCAAGATGACAGGAGCTGGGAAATGGAGGAAAAAGCAGCAGAACCAATAATTAAAATAATTTTTAAAATAATTAGTGTATTAAATAATGTTAGCAAAACAATGAAGAAAGATCAGATATTTTAGTAAAGACTCAAAAGCTGGTTTGTTAGGGTGTGTTTGTACAAACTGAATTGCTTGGAAAAGTCTGTGCCACTTACAGAAACTGTTGAACTGGGAGTGTTTGTTCCATATCCAGATGAAGGAAGGGAGGCCAAGGACCAGCGGCGTCCATCCGTTCTGGGGAAAAGAAGTAAGGGAAATTACTGTCAGGGATATATTGTGGCTAATTCTTGGGGGAAATAAGCATTTTTCCCCAAAAAATCTCTTAACCTCACGTTTTTATTAAAGTCTCAAGTTATTCAGATAAATGAGGTACCCTATTTACAATGACCTTTGTGAAAAAGCAGCTAGGGTAAGTTTTAAAAGCAAAAGTAAGTGACCTTGGAAAAGATAAAGCAAATGGGCATCAGATTCCTGCATTAAGTAGATGCTTTGTAAATGTGACCAGTTGTGCAAAAATTGGAGTTTCTAAAACAGACAAATGAAATCAGCTCATTTCAAACTTATGTGAAGAAGACAGTCATGCCTAAGATAATTACTTATGCAGTTCCTTGTCTTCCAAATAAAGTTTAAAATTGAGGGGGAAAAAAAATCATACTAGATCAAGAATCAACTGAAAGCAGATTCGTTAGTTTACCTAGTCAGAAGGCATTCTGCCTAGCACATCGCCTAACACAGCTGGTGAATTAAATCCACTACAGCAGATCTGAACAGAGCCGAGGGGTCCACTCAAAATAAAGGGAGATAGAAATCACAGAAATCTCACCTAGGGTCTCTTTCACCTCCAGTCAACATAATATTAGTAGTTATTTCCCTATCATAGCCAAAGAAACATTACCCTCAGGGAAAACAGCCAAAACATCCTGGAGATACTGCAGAAAAGGTCTTGTCTTACCAATGTCAAAACTGAGGAACTACACAACTGCTTTGAGAATAATCAGTGTTGCCCTCCCTGAAACCCTCTTCTCCCCCCAGAACCTGCCTCGGTGAGGATGGAAACTGAACTACATTCAGCTCAGTCTCACAGTGCTTTTTCTGCCTCTGATTTCATTTCAGTCTTGCATGCATTTTGTGTCCTATAATGGACAAATGTGTCCTGCTGCACGACAGGATGGATGTTAAAGAAGTCTCTTCCGCACATCAGTTTCCATTTGCTTGTTTCTTTTATTACAGCAGATTATCAGTAACTGGTCATAAAGTGAAGCTGAATTAGAACAGTTCGTCATTCTAACCTACTTTGGAAAGATTTGGGGTTTTTTTGCTACGTGTAGATACAATACATTTATGCAAGTGCATTATAAAATAGGATGTTTCATACAGGTCTGAAATAGTGCTTAGTTCTTATCAAAATCTCAACTGTTATCATCTTCACAGTAATACTTCTCATCCCACTATCCACACCCATGAAGCCTCATCTTCAGAAAAAAGTTCAATGCACACCCAGGCATTTATTTTCAGGCACTGATATACACTACTCTTCTTTGCCATCTACCTTAGAACAAGAGGAAAATACACTCACTGTTCTACATCACTGAGAGAATATTATGTCAAGAGTTTTTAAAGACTCATGCTTCATGCATTAAGAAAAAATAATCAAGCTGTAATGCAGATTTCTATTGCATGCTTATGCTATAGCTAAACCCCATTTAGCCACAGGTGACGTTTTCTTTGACAAGACAATTACATGTAGAAGAACAATCTCAAAAAATTCCAAGAGAAATTAAATTCCTTTCTTAATCCTGAAAAACAACAAATGTCAGCATTATAAAGTTGCTGGATCATGTGGTCAGTGACAGAACACCAAACTTCAATGATCTTCATTCAGCTTCTTGTAACATACAGGGGTGCTGGGGAAATATTTAGGTCAATGCTCTAACCTCAGTTTGGACCCTCAGTCCCAAAGCAAGACAGTGTGTTCCTGACTTCTCAAACAGTAGACAGGAAAGCACAGGTCACTCATTTTTTGCAAAAGGAAAGCAAAACAGTGAGTTGACTAAATTGTGTATTGAAACTACTTCAGAATTTTCATTTTGACAAAGTTAACCGAAAAAGTCTTTCTCAATTAGAAAATTCCAGGATACCTCTTCATGCTTGAGCTATTTTCTGCTGATGCAATCTAGGCAAGCAATGTGCTAAGCAGTCAGGACAATGCATATCAGCTCTATTCTAGCAGAAGGAAGTGGGACAAGAGTAGAAATCTTCCAAATCAAAGGCAACGGGAAAAAGACTTTAAAAGAAAATTCCTCCTTCGTTTATGCAAAACATTTCAAAATTACTGCAGTGTTTTGTTAATAAACATATTTTTAGAGAGATCTCACGCAATATTTCTTAGGAAAAGATACTTGGAAAGAAATTTTTAGGTCTTTTATTTTCTTTATTATAGATTCTTTGCTAGCACAATAAAAACATGCAAACAACAAATTTTGCCTTTTAAATGACATTTTAATTAGTTAATGAAGGAGGTATTTTTATGGCAGCTAAATGCTATCCAATGAACAGTAGATCAATTTCAAAACAAGAAGGTGCTAGAAGAACAACACATCTTCTCCAGAGCACTACCTGTTTATCATTTTAAGCCAAAATGCAAAGATTTCCTTTTTTGATTACCAAAGAATAGAAGCTGAATGCCTAAATGGGGTTATTACAGCATGAACTTGTTAGGGACACAGGCTCAGCTGCACAGAAGCATAGTTCATACACACATACAAACAGCAGATACGATACACATTACCTGTCTGCTCTGTGTCCATGGCTGTGTGGAAGAAATTGTACAATGACAATGAGAGAGGGAGAAGTAGAAGATGCACATGTGATTTCTGAAAAAACCCTCATCATCTGTTACTGGTATTCCGCTAAGATCAGTTTTAGTGAATATGGACAGAATTAATCATACATTTCCTTATTCAAACAGGAAGATCCCTGAACATGTTAACTTTGTGGCTATGACACAATCATTGAAAGGGTGTCTAGCAAAGGATCTATGATTAATCACCAGTCAAACTAAGGATAATCTTGCAGTATACTGTAGTGAAACTGGCTTTACAATAAAACAAGTTTTTCAAATATGTTTCCTACTCTGTCCCAAGAATAAACTCATCACAGGGCTAATATGAAAGAATGGAAACCACAGACAATGTCCAAACAGGATAATAAATGAAGAAATTAAACCAAATATAAAAGGCAGAAAATCAGCAACAAATAATTTCTGTGACGGCAACAGGAGGAAATCAGGTAAGAACCACCTCTTAAGACCCATGCAATGCCAATCAAAAGGGTACAGTGAAATATCCATTTCTCTGGGGTAACAGAGCACCACACTTGCAATTACTTAATACCATCATATAGAAGTTATTCTGATACCACTATGTGATAATCTAATAAATATGTATTGGTACTGCTGGCATAGCTATTCAGGGTGTAATGCAAGTAGAAAATAGAAACAAGTTTCTAAACCAAGCTGGGCTTAAGTGTTCTTTTCAATGAATGACAGAAAAAGTATAGAGAGCAACATGCATACTGTAAAATGAACCACAGCATTCCAGAGGACAGACTTAATCTTTATTCATCTATTTCTTTAAAAATTAGATTTAAAAAGTGGAAAAGTATGAAAGGGCACTCTTCCAAGTTTTAGTATTAAAACATTTATTTGCTGCTTGAAACTTCAGAAAGCAATGATACTGAAACATCAAGTTGAAACATGATGTTGAAAAATTATGTTAAATTTTGACAATGGTTTCAGCTCTAACTTTCCTCCTGTGTTCTAGGGTCCAGAGCTCCAGATACTGTGAAAACTGGTAAAAACTCAGTTGACTTCAACAGAACTTACTGAATATACCCAGATCAGGCTCAGATACCTCTTTAAAAATAAAGATGGATGCTGTGAGTCCATTTGAATTGTTTTACCAGCAAGTAAAATACTAATTTTTCCCTCTGAGGCAACAGAAAAATACATATCCAGTCTGTCACATTTCACATGCTGTTACGAAGTTTTTTCTTATGTAAGACCTGAAGACCAAAGTCTACCTCAAACAGTATTCAAGGACACCAGGTCTTCTACCTAATCACCTCAATGCAGAAACGCTCCAGGATTTACCTGCCATTTTATTCTTCTTTGAAGTTTTGAGACCTATCCTTTTTCTGACTAGTCACCAAGCTAAATCTGTTGTTCTCAGAAAACTTACTTCCTCTCAGGATGATCACACTTTTTCCATTCTCAGATCATTTTTAACACAGATTGGGTTTTTTTCAGCCAAGGCAGAGTTTAGCAAATCCAAAATATCTTCCCCACACCTGAGTCTCATAATCCTGCTACTATGCCCAAACCCTGCTTTGGATCTCTCTTTTTCTCCTGTTCTTTATTTCTCCACAAAATTTAACTTTCTGTATCATTATCTATTTCTGCCTACCTGCTGGGATACAACATTCAATACACCATTTGTCTGCTTCTCCCAGCTGTCTTTATTCTTTCTATCCTATTCTTTACACTAAATTCATCACTATAGTATCAGATTTCTTTCCACTAGTTTGATATACAGCATGAACAGCATTTGTCTAGCATTCGCTGCAGGACAGATGATAGCTTCACATTCAGATCTCTCAATGCTGCTCTTCTTCTAGAGGTTCTTGTAGACTTGCAATTTCAATTATCAGTTATTTTCCTCATTAGAGCAATAATGTACTCTTGACACCAATGCCCAAGAGAGTAGAGAAAACTAAAAAGTTGCTACCAGTCAGAATGCAGCGAATGAATGCACACACAGTTGTGCACGCCTAATTTTGTGTATGTTTACGTCTTTGTGCAGACATAGCAAAGAAGATCAGTACACTTTGAATACACCGCAGTTATTCAGTGAGAAGAACATCTAGGATTACAACTAAGACATGATTATCCTAATCATAACTGGCTTTAATGTCATTATGACTAAATTATTTGTCATATCACATGCCCTACATGTCATCTTTCTGGAAGAACATTGCCTCCTTAGGCAGTACTGACTACTTAATTTAATCTTCTTCTAGGTCTGAAAAGCACCTAATACATTCTGGGTGCCGCCAAGATCTAAACCAAAAAGAATAAAACAAAATAAAATTGGAAACATCAGAGAAAGCAAAACACAATCAAAAAACTTCTAAGACATAGGCCATTTCTAAATAAAAGCTTATAAACTATTTGCTTGCCAGTCCAAAGAGAATAGATCCTGCCTTACCTTCGGGCAGGAACAAAGGAGAAATGAGCAGGTGCATTTGGAGAGAAGTTCCTGGGACTGTCCAAAGGGCTGCTGCCTGTTTGAGAAAGTAAAAAAAAAAAAAACAACAAAAACACAACACCCAAAAACATTTCATTCACATTTGCAACAAACTGAGTAAGTTCCACTGTGCAGAATGACTTTCAACTGCAAGTGGTAGTCACAAATAATTGAAAATATGGAGCTTTGAGTCTTTGCTCATTTAAGCATTAGTTTGCTAAAGAAATGTTCTGATACAGATGTATCAGTATTTTCCCTCCTTTTAAAATCATTTAAGGTGTACGTTTTCTTTCTTACTTTCGGATAAGTAATGTATCACACATACACAATATAGTCTTTTAATATTTTGCAATAATTTCTATATACAAGCTTTTCCTAACACTTCTCAACAAAAAAACTGAGTTAGAAATGACACTGATGACAGTTTCAGGAATAATATATAGTAAGAAGTATTTCTTCACAATGTACGCCAAGGCTAAATGCAAAATTCACTGAGGAAAAAAAAGACATACCAAAGGAACTGCACGTGATAATAAAAGGACTACACACATGTAAGATGATCAGGCTATAACGTATCAGCATTCACCCTAACTACCACTTTTCTGAAATAATACTTCTACCATGAAAATGAAAGTTCCAGTGAATTTATACAGTGAGGAAAAAAATAACACTTAATTTTCTCTTGGCACAAGAATACTTTCTCTGGGCTTTGTCATGTGATGTATAAGCATATGGCTGGTAAGTGGTATATTGTAATGTATTTTATTTCAAAGTAAAAAGCAACCATTTCATAGAAAGCCCTTCTGAAAGCCAGAATCATTTACAGACTAACTGCAGAAACCTTTGAAAGTTATGGATGAATTAGAAGCTTCATGTCAGCGAGTGTGCTTTCTGTTGGGCATATTCTTAAGTGGTTTGCTCTTTCAGATCCTTAATATAAGCATAAAAGAGAAACTATACCTAGTAAACATATGCCAACAGCCATTTCTTTGTGCACAGACAGTAAAATAACATTAAAATAAGAGCAGGAAAAGTAAATAGATACTGGACAAGCAATACACTGCAAGGTACATAACTGTGCTCATCAGAAATGTTTTCAAATTTAGATCCCATAGAAAATGGATTTATTTTATAAGTCATGTTGAAAAGTCAAAGATCAATGATGAACCATCTGCAAAGGACTTGTCTCTGTTTCAGGGGAAGTACTAGGTGCCCAGCTCGCCCCCCAAGTCAGCACTGTTTGCGAGGTTACGGTCCCATCCAGCACTATACTGAAGCTTATAATTAAGTTGCATTAATTTCAACCCAATTTATTCATACACCTTAACTGCTACACTGAGCAGAAACGGAATGTAAGCACTGTCCTCAGTTGAAGGTAACATTCACTCACATTTCAGCTATACAAATGGTTCACAAAAATCTGCAGTAGCATCTCTCCACAACTTCTCGTGAGCAAGGTGTGTGCACACCTGGCATGCATGCCTGGGCAGGTAGGGAGGAGGAAAGGGAGAACAAGCTGATATCTTCTGGGGTATGAGGATGGCCACAGCGCAGCACAGGCCAGCAAACTCCATCTGGTCTACAAGTCTACGAGGGGAAAAATAGCAGCTGGTTGAGATTAAAGCAGCCCCAGGCTGATCTAACATGTGTCAAGGGGTGATGAGAGAACTGGAGAGGTAAGTGAATTCCAGACCACTCCACAATCTGTTTCATCAAGAGCAAACTAAATTAAAAACAAAGAGTTTGAGCAACAGGTTTGTCTTCCTTTGGCTTGGTTTTCTTTTGTATTGTTAGTTAGGAACTAACAACGAGTTCACAGTGTAATATAACACAATGCAAGCCTTCACTCAAAACTGGATACCATTTAACCCATTCCCAGTATATCCCAAGTGGGAAGGGGAAAGAGTGATCAGAAATCAATAACTAGATGATTTTTGGTGCTTCATTTATTAAGCTTGTACTCATTTTTATTTTTATGGTGACAGTGGAAAAACAGGGACATTGTGCTGCTTTTGAATTAAGAGAAGACTGAGTGGTTTGACAGTCTAGATGGCACTGCAAGCTTACAAGAAAGATGGAAGAAGGCTACAATAGCCACAAAGTAAACAACTCCGTGGTGCATAAACACACGTGTCCTGGTAGCAGTACACGGCTAGAGTTAGGGTCACCATTTTCATGCTGGCAGAGAGCTGAAGGAGCATTTTAGACCAGGAGGAAATGCAGCAGGAGTGAGGCCTTTCCGTGGTTATGTACATCTCCTAACAAAGGAAGGAAGGCTGCCACTTTTGGTGGGAACCCTGGTCTTTGCCCTTCATTTTTCAAGCTTTAATGCTGATGAACCCTACTGTGTCAAGATGATCTTTTTAAACAAAAAGCCCATTGCCCAATGCTGTTATAAACAAGCAATGAACTGTCATTGCCTTTTTATATCTTCATCAATCTTTTGTAAACTTTCCAGATTATGATCAAAACAGGATTTCAGAATAACTAAGGAAAGTGGGTAATGACAGTCTTTAAATTTTGAAATTAAGTATGTGGGCGTTCAAACTCTTCTGAGCCTGCATGATCTGGTATGGAGATACTACTAATTTTTAAGCAACTACTTTTTCAGATTTATATGGCATATTTCCTTCCAGACACTGGAATTTTAATTAGATCCCCTGTGAGTTGCTTCTAGTTTTAAAATGAAAAGCAATTAGTTCTTCTACTCAATTCAAGTCTGGGTGAAGCTTTTAAAACAACAACAGGGAGAAGGGGAATTACTACTTTCCCTAAAATTTCCCAGTACTGCTGCATCTGCTCTAGTTGAAGGAATTTTAATAAGAGAAGCCTTAGTGCAATGGTCTCATTCACCAAGGCTGATCAAAACCCTATTTATTCTGTTAGCAAAGGTAAATTCCCCTGTTGCTCAAGGGTTATAGTTTGCTACTACTGAACCTGAAACAACTCTGTCTCAAGGGAGGCTGTTACACAGAATGATTGCCCATTAGGTAAATCAACACACTTACATGAACGTTAATAATTCAGGCATGAACCTTTACATTTTCCGGACACAGGAAGAAGGATGCAGCCAAAGCATTTGTACATCTGCTATCCTCAAAATACAAAACCAGACCTTACGGGCAACAGGTAGACGAAAGTCTCAGCTATCATCTACAAACATGACATTCATCAGAGAGGTAATGAGTCCCAAAATTCACACTAGAACCATTTTGTAAAACCTGCTTCTGAGATTTGTAAAAATAAATAAATATAAAAGACAAAGTTGTTGTGGTCTTCTGTGTAGGATATACGAGCGTTATTTGCTGAATATTAACACAAGCAGCTAAAGATCTTATTGCATGCTACAGAATTAGCTGCCTTCCAGCATACACAAATCTTAAAATGACCAAAAAAGTTTAAGCACCCTGTGTACCACCTGTCTCATATATAGTGAATGCCGTGGTGCTCTCACACGATCAAGGATCACACACGTGAAATGCTGATGAACTGCAGCTTTAATAACCAGGGCAGGATCTAGAGTGGTATGTTACATGCTCTGCCCACTCTAAAAATAATAAATAAATAGAGACCTTAGTAATAGCCATTTTTCTGCCAGAAGGTGGAACTGAACTTTCAGTGTAAGAGCAGAATAATTTAATTCAGTACCACACTGCTGCCTGCGAGCAGCTCCCTCCACCTGCCATTACAGATGGGAGCAGGACAAAGGTCCCAGTCGTGACAAGCGTCTCCACTGGAAGCCAGTGAGCAACCTGGCTACCTTACAGTTGTGGAAAGTAAATTTTAAAATAGCCTGAACTTCAATTATCCAGCAGTAAGAACCTATCTCCTTCCTACTGAATTATAAAGATGATGTTGCTTCTTTGATTGACTTTAAGCTTTTCATTTTAAAATATAATCTAATGGTAACTTAGTAATCAACCTCATGATGTAATCTCTCTGTTATTTTCATTTTTTAAAAACTTAATTCAAAGAAATACAAACAAATGTAAGGAACATATGTGTATATCTTTTTTCCTCTGATTTTGAAAGAAAAATAATTTAGAATAAAGGGCAAATTTTCAAACCTGTTATTCCTAAAACTAAGCATTTCAAGTTTGGGAGAGTAAACAAGCAGAGTGACTTTCCCATGAAGTTAACAAGCTGTAGCTCTCTATCCCAAGGTCCCAGCTTATTTTGGAAAGCGTTATTTCATATGAAATAATCTGGCATATGAAATTGCCTGGCATCTTATTGGATGCTGTTTCAGATAGTAAGTGTATCTGCCTGGATCAGTGTTCACTAGGAGGTAGGTTTGCCTGACAGACAGTCAACTGTGCTATACCACACCCACTGACTTTCACATTACATACAGAAGAATAACTCCTGAGGCTAGTGCCATATAGGACTTGACATCAAGAGTGAACAGAAACGTGTTAGAAAGTGTCCCTGACTTCTCTGCATGCTTGCTGTTCCTTTGATTCATAAGAGAGGTTCAGAATGGGCATCAAGAAGAGCGTGTTCAAGACAAAAGAGGCCAGGGAGAGGCTCCAGCATTTCTTAGCAACTTATCAGTGTATGTGCCTGAACAAACAGATTCATAGATTCTATTCAAATACCAAACAAATATCACAGCCTGTTCTCAAATTCACATCTCATATATGATATTTCTTAAGAAAATATTTGTGACTCTACTCTAAATTTCACCCACTTTTCTCTCTTGAATAAATTATTTTTCCCAGGGAAGACTCCTAAATATAGTACTGGTAGAGAACTTAAATTACAAGTAATTTATCTTCCTATGCTCTACCGGCTACTCTTGGAGGTCACAAAGAATGTCCTTTCCAATTAATAGTTCTAAATTCCACATGCAACATCAGAACAAAAAATGGCAATATTTGACAATTATTGCTAAAGAAAGATGGCACACCACTGATTAGTTACTCTTGTTTCTAGAAGACACTCGCATACTTCTAAAACAAGATAAGCTTGTAAAAGCCTGAGACAGCATCAAAACCACCAAGAGCAATTTTTCATTTTTTAAATAGTCAGAGAAGAAAAGCAAATAAAAAGAAAAGAAAATATAAATGTTTCTATTGTGAACATTTCTGCATTTGTTTTCCAAGCAATGATCATGTCAACATCTTGTTGCAATCTGCCAAGCAAGGACATTTCTTTCATATTCTGAGGAGCATCTTTCTCTGTCACTTCAGTTAAATGCTTGTACAGCTAATTTAGAGTTTGGTAAATCCAACATATATATCAACTCTAAGAACAAAGTAAAGAGCACAATGTAACTAAGTGGAGAAACTCTACCCAGAAAAATGCCTTGTTGAAACCAAATTTTACAAAGCTATCACTATCATAATCACATACAACAGAACCAAGGCGTTTGAAGTGAAAGGGAATTGCCCTATGCAAATTTTTGGCCCTGCATTTTATCTGAGATTCTGAAGCAAAAAGAAAATGGTTTTAATATACCACTTTTAAGATACTGTTAACATTTTAATTTGAAAATCATGGGTCATATAAAAAAAACCCCAATGTCATTAAAGTAACATCCTAGCCTTCCATGACTGGCCTTTACAGCATCCCAAAGAAATATGTCAGATTTTTATGAAAACTTAGAGTTGTTGAGGCTTTTATGATCATCCCTGAACAATAACTTTGGTCTTCTTTTTCCTTTCAACAGGCTGGATGTCACCTCTCGAAATGCAGTGCTCCAGAAACAGAAGCAGATGGCTCCTTCTAGGTGAGCTACTATGAATTTGCTGTTCTTTCTCAGCATTTCCTTAGTTTGAATCTCCAGAAAGTATTTACAGAACATACTGCCATGTAGGAGGAGGAAAGTCTGACTGTAATGAAAACAACAGTTACTTGTCTTACGTGCAACAGTGATGTGCTTCCAGACAGGCTCCACCGTGGATGATGTGCAACAAATGCAAGCTGTTTCATGCTACTGACTGGTGCCCATTAGGGCCATACCTGAAGTCCAACCATCTTCTCTGGCATTTTGAAATATCAAAAACAACGTAGTCACACATCACCTACCTCCCTCAGCAATAAAAGCATCAAGAAAACATGCTGTTCAGGCAAGCTGTTGAATCTGCATGCGTGACCCTTTCTGAAAATCCGTGGTTACTGTAGGCTGAACAATCACTCTTTCTTTTTCTATAGAAAGAACATCTCCACACACTTCACCTCGATGACTAACAAGCAGTTGCCCATTTGCTCTGAAATGAGCATTTCCCAGTTGCTGCCATGGTAAAACTGGCAGTAATATAAAAAAAGAAAAGAGTCCTCAACACCTCATGTTGCTCTAAGTAGCAGATAGAGACCGTAAGATGGCACACTGCACAGCTGACAGGCTGCTGGAGGCATACAGAAACAAGGAGGATGTTTCTTCTCATGAGAACTGCAGTTAAATCACCGGCACAAATTCACCATGCTAGGAGACTCAAAGCAAGATATTTACTTAGATGTATTTATTTTATTTTATTTTACTTTGTTCTCTATCTCAGGTTCTTTTGCAGGACGTAAGAGGACTGAATCCTGCAGAAAGAGTGGAGGATGGATATGGTAGCAAACTAGACAGTGCAGAGCAGATGAGATAAAACATTTATTCTGAAACTATCAGGACCCTCTTACAATTTAGAAAAGATGAAAAACTAAGTCAGAATAAGTTTCAAAGAGCATATTTTGATGTAGAGTATCAGTATGTTCCAACTCACTACAAAGAACACTGACATTTTTCCTAATGATTCCCAGGTAAAGCAGTCTTAGGGAATTACCTGCATGTCCATGAAGAGGGGAATGTGGCCGCGGGAGAGTTGGAGACGTGCTGGATGTTACGATCAAACTCTTTCTGTTGCTTGTCCGACAGCTGAAAGAGAGAGATAAATGATAAGGCATGGTCAGATGAACAAAAGCACCTGAAAGCAGATTCTGCGGAATGTCTTTCAGCTAGGGAGGAATCTCTCAGTATTTAGGTCAGTGTTTCCTCACTTTCTCAATCTCAGTAGTGACCCTGCAAAGAAATAAACATACAGGGCCAAAAGGCACTTTGTCAGCAACAAGTGTTTTAATACGCTAGAAGCAATATAAAAACTGTATCTCATGCTGCACAGGCCACTAGAAATACCTGACAACACATTCCTGATCTACCAAATATGTGCAACACGTGCTTTACGAATCACACAAAAAGCAGAAAACTGTAAAATACCCCAGAGTGCTTCAGATATTCTTACCAATATCCAACCTAGCAAATAAATCTATTACAATTATTGGCTATTACTATAATAAACCAGAGCATATTCCTTAGAGCAGAGTTAAAATTATGAAGCAAAGTGTTAGCACAATTCAGCAGATAAGCAGTATTACTAATAAAACCTGAGATTCAAGAATCTTTGCAAACACGTGTGGCAATATCGATAGAAAACTGCAAAGCGAGTTTCAGACAAGCCCCCTGCCGAAGCAACTCCACTCACTGCCATGACTTTATTCCAGCAAAGAAAGCGACGCTTCTGTATGAGGCTGCTCAGATTTATTTTTTTCCCCACTGGAGTTTCAGAACTTCGCCAAATGAAGAGAATGATGTGTTCCTCCATTTACTTCCCAGCCTGTGCTTGCTAGTAGCAAACATTTAGCTTTAAAGATGATAGAAGTAATTGTAATGGGAAAGAGGAACATTTTTAAATCATGGGAGCTATGAACAAGAGCAACTAGGTATTTAAATCTCTTTCAGATCACCACTTTTCCCTGTTGTTTAAACAGCATTAACAGTCCAAGTTCACAGCAAAATCTCACAACCGACCAAGTATTAAAGATATGTACGTTTATTCATTGTACCTCTAATTTGCTTTCTAGATGGCAGAAACATTTCTGCTTACTTCAGCAGTTCTTAAAACAGGTAACTAAAATATTGGTCTTGATAGGGAGTGGGAAAATAGACAGGAGCAGGGAAAGCTAAGCAGAGGCTGAACAAGGAGCTCACTGGCCCAGCTCTGGAGGTGTCCTGTGAAGCTCCATGTTGGGTTACTGCAGGCGCATGCAAAGCCTGTTTGCTCGCAGAGCTCCGAATGCTGACGTCCGCCTCGGTCCTTCCTGCACCGGCTGATCTTCTGGAGCTGCCCAACAATAAACACGCTCAGACTGCCAAGAACTACAATTTAATGCAAAACTATTTTGCTGCCACAGGATACAGTGCATCTGACTATTATTATTTGTAAGCTTTTTAATTGCTGTTCTATAGGAAACTAGAGAACTCGATGCAGAAAAAAATACAACTGAACTGCCAACTATAATAAACAGTAATAAAGTTGAAGCACCATTAACTGCTATTCAGGCTCTTTAGTGTACTTAAAGCATTCCTCAAAATTATCCAACTGATTCCATACAATCTCCATTTACAGTCATGTATTATTCAACAACAGTCCATCCAAAAACTGATTGCCATTGTGTACATCATATGGAAAAACTAACAGTCTGATTTTAAGAAGCTTAAAATCTGTTCATGGATTGTTTTTTTTTTTAATGTTTTCAGTTACTCTATTCCAGTAACTCTTGAAAAAAACCAGAATACTCAATTCTAACATTAATACCAGATAATCATTATGTTTATATTACTAGAAAATCTATCTCATAACACAGAAGTCCTGAGTATTCTAATATAATATATATTACTATGCAAGAAATAAAAAATTCCTGGGTTTGTAATGTAAGAATTTAAGATCTTGCTCAATATAAAACACTAGTGCAATGAGAAAACAGACCCCTATCCTCTATGGTCATATCCCTTTGCTAAAGAGAGTTCCTAAAATATACTTTACCACAGCGATGACTGGAGCTGGCTATGGAAACTTGGTATATTTAAATCACAGCATAACAGGGAACATGAACTGTCCCAAATTCAGAGCTTTTTAACTGCTTGCCCACGTTTGCCAAATTGAACCGAGCTTTACAAACCCATTTTCTCTGCCTGTATTTGCAAAGATAAGGAACCAAAAGAGGAAGGGTTAAGTGGCTGGAGAACAAGCACAGCTGAGACCCCTTAAAATAGGTCAGATTTACACCAGTGTACCCAGAGGACGGAATAGCTTGGAGTGAAAGCCTAGCCCCAAGTTAGGAATAAAACATTATTCTCTTTACGCCCTCAAAATTGAATAACTTTCCATTTCCCTGGATCTTTAAGCTGGGAAGGGGGAACACCATTTAGGTCTGTTTAGCCACTTCTATGAACCATGTGTGTTGGCAATAAGGCAAAGCTTAAACACAGAGGCTAAAACCAGAATTTCTGATTTCTTGAATCCATGTTATATGATGAGAAAAATATACAGACAAATACAATCATACTCTCTACTGGTTGAAGAGAGCTCTCTGGATATATACACAAAACTTTTAATAGGTCTTGGAATCCCAGAGAAACTACAGAACAAGAGTGAGGAAGTTCTGGTAGTCACAAAAATACAAAAAAGGGGGGGAAGGGAAGAGGTAACATGAAGCCTTCAGTTGGGCGACCTGCCCCAAGAAGTCACTACAATAGCATTTGAGTACCTCCTAAAGAAGAAGAGCTAAATATGAAAAAAGCACAGCTGGCTTTAACCAGGGCTTTGTGCCAAAGAAATTCAAACTAGTCAACTTAAATGTTGGCAGTAACAGTTCAAATGAAGAAAAAATTATTTCCTAGAAGATGCACTTCAGCCAGACAGATGGTACTGGGCTCAATACTGAGCTACAAGGCCAATGATGATGACAGACCATATTATTAATCCTTTAAATTGCATTAATTATTGTTTGTTACTGATCACAAATTCTCCAAACAATACTATATGTTTCCTTGCCCTAAGAATAATTCAATCTACATAACACAACCAGAGAAGAAGGAGAAAGTAGAAAGGGAAAAGGTTACCTATATATCTCTGAGTATTTTAACTAGAAAAAATAAAGTTCTTAACCAGTCCAGTGAGATTCCAAGCATTATTATTTGTTTATAAGCCAAAGTTTTGCTATTTTCATTAAATGCAAGGCGAGCCTTACCCTGACCCTCCTTTCCTCTCACAATTTGGTATGGGTCTTGTTAACCTTTTTTTCTCAGATCCCACTTCATAATTTCAGGGAACAAATACCCTCCAGGTCTTCCAGTTTAGGCAAAACACAATTTTAATAGCGCAGAGTTTCTGCACTGCCCGAAGCTGCAGGGTTGAGCTCCAGCCAGCAGAGTGCTTTGGAGGGCTGTCAACACGCCAATACCCCTGCTGCCACCCCCTGCCCTCCCGTGCCACCGAGGTCCCACACCCACGCTGCCAAACCCACGTCTAGAAACCCGTGAGAGCACGAGAGCAACTGGACTTAATTCGGAACACACACAGCAAAATGGAGAGTTTATATAGAAATATTTGAAACAATGCCTTTGCCATCACTATGGATATAGAGCTTTTACTATTTCTAGACTTAACTGCTCTGCCTGCAGTAAAAATAACATTTGTTACATGTACTGAAGCGTTCCCAGTGCATTCTTGAAACTGAACACTGCAGGACATCGGACGTGGGTCTGGTAACTGGACACTGGTTTTGGACCCACTGATATGCGCCCTGGAGCCAGCACCCTTGGCCAGAAATATTTATGAGAACATTTGGTAGCGTACCTGCGAGCTGCTCGCAGCCCGGGTGCTCTTCAACTACGCTCTAACAAACCTTCTCCTATGCACCAACAGACAATTCCATGTCGAGCCTCTAAAATGAGCACCATTAGTACCCCCTGTTTCATATGCATTTTCAGTCTGAAAAAGAAATCAATGTTTCAGTTTCAGCATGAATCAATATTTGATTCTTCATTTTAGCACTTTACTCAGGGGACATCTCTAACTTACTGAGCAAAACTGATTAAAGTCCATGAGGCATTCATGTAATGAAAGCAAGGGCCACAGAAAAACAATTTAAAAATAAAAAACCAGCCACCAATATCAGGTAATTTCATAGCGTTGCTGGTTATTAGGAATGAATAATGATAAGGAAGTTGCTCAAAATCTATCTAAATTTATAGGCCTTGAAAAATTTCTCGTAGTTGAAGCTGCTGAATATACAAGTAAACAAGATTAGCACCGATTGCACGAGTCTTCCCACAGACTTTGACAGAAATCAACTTGAAGTAAAAAGATGTACAGAAAAGTTATAGCTTAAATCACATTTTGGTTAGTAATCATTAATGCATTTTATTCATATTAGTGATCTTTAATTACAGAGTTTTAGTTTTGTAAACCACTTCAGGTTGTCAGAGTGCCAGATTAACTCTTGCATTAACTAATAACTCCTTTCAAAATAACATTTCAGAAGCCCAACATCAGACTTGTTCCAGATTTGACATTTAATTCAGTAAGCCCAAATCTCTATGAAACGGGATCCAAAATTCAGAGCAATCATACCTACAAAACCTATCCGTGGTTACATATTTTCCTAAAATGTCCTATCACCTAACCAAACTTTGCTAGATTCTCGTCTAATGTTACAGGAGTTTGGTTTCAGTTGATTTGCTTTACAAAAACTTCTTTATGAGAAACAGACATTTTGGAAGTGAAAATAAGTATTTAAAATTTTTATTCACAATGGCAGAAAATTTACAAAATCCAAAATCTGCATGTCAATGAATGCACCAGCTGCGCAGCAATGTTAACTAGATGTGGAAGTTATTGTCTTAATTATAGTAATTCAAAGATGGAAGCAATTTTGTAAGCTTTAGCACTACCAACAACAGGGATAATTAGTTCTCTAAAATAGATAAGAATAAGAAAGCATCTGGTTCAACTGATTTTTTTTTTTCACGTTCAAGAATAGTTTAAAAGTTATTCATCCTAGAATAACTGGGAAAAAAAAGTGTTATTATTCATG